GTCTACTCTCTCAACATGGACATATCTGTTTACTCTCATAACATTAACATGTATCTGTCTACTCTCTCATTATGGACATATGTCTACTCTGTCTCAACATGGACACATCTGTTTACTCTCTCAACATAAAGATGTATCTGTCTACTCTCTCAGTATGGACATATCTGTTTACTCTCATAACATAAACATGTATCTGTCTACTCTCTCAGTATGGACATATGTCTACTCTCTCAACATGGACATATCTGTTTACTCTCATAACATTAACATGTATCTGTCTACTCTCAGTATGGACATATGTCTACTCTGTCTCAACATGGACACATCTGTTTACTCTCTCAACATAAACATGTATCTGTCTACTTTCTCAGTTTGGACATATATCTACTCTCTCAACATAGACAGATCTGTTTACTCTCATAACATAAACATGTATCTGTCTACTCTCTCAGTATGGACATATGTCTACTCTGTCTCAACATGGACACATCTGTTTACTCTCTCAACATAAACATGTATCTGTCTACTCTCTCAGTATGGACATATATCTACTCTCTCAACATGGACAGATCTGTTTACTCTCATAACATTAACATGTATCTGTCTAATCTCTCAGTATGGACATATGTCTACTCTGTCTCAACATGGACACATCTGTTTACTCTCTCAACATAAACATGTATCTGTCTACTCTCTCAGTATTGACATATCTGTTTACTCTCATAACATAAACATGTATCTGTCTACTCTCTCAGTATGGACATATGACTACTCTCTCAACATGGACATATCTGTTAACTCTCATAACATTAACATGTATCTGTCTACTCTCTCAGTATGGACATATGTCTACTCTGTCTCAACATGGACACATCTGTTTACTCTCTCAACATAAACATGTATCTGTCTACTCTCTCAGTATGGACATATCTGTTTACTCTCATAACATAAACATGTATCTGTCTACTCTCTAAGTATGAACATATGTCTACTCTGTCTCAACATGGACACATCTGTTTACTCTCTCAGCATAAACATGTATCTGTCTACTCTCTCAGTATGGACATATCTGTTTACTCTCATAACATAAACATGTATCTGTCTACTCTCTCAGTATGAACATATGTCTACTCTCTCAGTATGGACATATTTGTTTACTCTCATAACATAAACATGTATCTGTCTACTCTCTCAGTATGGACATATGTCTACTCTGTCTCAACATAGACATATCTGTTTACTCTCATAACATAAACATGCATCTGTCTTCTCTCTCAGTATGGACATATGTCTACTCTCTCAGTATGGACACATGTCTACTCTCTCAGTATGGACATATGTCTACTCTCTCAACATGAACTTAACCTTAGCAAAGTTGTCAAGTTATTTGCCTAATGTTCTGAAGGTCTTAGATTTGTTTCGTGGACATGTTGTTCATTCTTTAGTGTAGTTTGGGGGATCACTGCTGGAGCTACGGGTAGGCAGCTAGCCATTCTGCAGAGAGACTAAGCAATACTACATATACAATCCAGTAAAATTAAATGAGTCAATCCTCCTAGATTTTAAATCTTTGAACTTAACTTTCAATCTATTACTGCATCTTCAACTAATGTAGCACTTTGGTTAAAAAACCTGCATCAATTAGGGAGCTGCTTTAGCACAGAGACTAGCTCAATGGTCGCCTGCTTTAGCACAGTGACTAGCTCAATGGTTGCCTGCTTTAGCACAGTGACTAGCTCAATGGTCGCCCGCTTTAGCACAGTGACTAGCTCAATGGTTGCCCGCTTTAGCACAGTGACTAGCTCAATGGTTGCCCGCTTTAGCACAGTGACTAGCTCAATGGTTGCCTGCTTTAGCACAGTGACTAACTCAATGGTTGCCCGCTTTAGCACAGTGACTAGCTCAATGGTCGCCTGCTTTAGCACAGTGACTAGCTCAATGGTTGCCTGCTTTAGCACAGTGACTAGCTCAATGGTCGCCTGCTTTAGCACAGTGACTAGCTCAATGGTCGCCTGCTTTAGCACAGTGACTAGCTCAATGGTTGCCCGCTTTAGCACAGTGACTAGCTCAATGGTCGCCTGCTTTAGCACAGTGACTAGCTCAATGGTCGCCTGCTTTAGCACAGTGACTAGCTCAATGGTCGCCTGCTTTAGCACAGTGACTAGCTCAATGGTCGCCTGCTTTAGCACAGTGACTAGCTCAATGGTTGCCTGCTTTAGCACAGTGACTAGCTCAATGGTCGCCTGCTTTAGCACAGTGACTAGCTCAATGGTCGCCTGCTTTAGCACAGTGACTAGCTCAATGGTTGCCTGCTTTAGCACAGTGACTAGCTCAATGGTCGCCTGCTTTAGCACAGTGACTAGCTCAATGGTCGCCTGCTTTAGCACAGTGACTAGCTCAATGGTTGCCTGCTTTAGCACAGTGACTAGCTCAATGGTCGCCTGCTTTAGCACAGTGACTAGCTCAATGGTCGCCTGCTTTAGCACAGTGACTAGCTCAATGGTCGCCTGCTTTAGCACAGTGACTAGCTCAATGGTCGCCTGCTTTAGCACAGTGACTAGCTCAATGGTTGCCTGCTTTAGCACAGTGACTAGCTCAATGGTCGCCTGCTTTAGCACAGTGACTAGCTCAATGGTCGCCTGCTTTAGCACAGTGACTAGCTCAATGGTGGCCTGCTTTAGCACAGTGACTAGCTCAATGGTTGCCTGCTTTAGCACAGTGACTAGCTCAATGGTCGCCTGCTTTTTAGCACAGTGACTAGCTCAATGGTTGCCTGCTTTAGCACAGTGACTAGCTCAATGGTGGCCTGCTTTAGCACAGTGACTAGCTCAATGGTTGCCTGCTTTAGCACAGTGACTAGCTCAATGGTCGCCTGCTTTAGCACAGTGACTAGCTCAATGGTTGCCTGCTTTAGCACAGTGACTAGCTCAATGGTGGCCTGCTTTAGCACAGTGACTAGCTCAATGGTTGCCTGCTTTAGCACAGTGACTAGCTCAATGGTCGCCTGCTTTAGCACAGTGACTAGCTCAATGGTTGCCTGCTTTAGCACAGTGACTAGCTCAATGGTTGCCTGCTTTAGCACAGTGACTAGCTCAATGGTCGCCTGCTTTAGCACAGTGACTAGCTCAATGGTCGCCTGCTTTAGCACAGTGACTAGCTCAATGGTCGCCTGCTTTAGCACAGTGACTAGCTCAATGGTCGCCTGCTTTAGCACAGTGACTAGCTCAATGGTCGCCTGCTTTAGCACAGTGACTAGCTCAATGGTCACCCGCTTTAGCACAGTGACTAGCTCAATGGTTGCCCGCTTTAGCACAGTGACTAGCTCAATGGTTGCCCGCTTTAGCACAGTGACTAGCTCAATGGTTGCCCGCTTTAGCACAGTGACTAGCTCAATGGTTGCCTGCTTTAGCACAGTGACTAGCTCAATGGTTGCCCGCTTTAGCACAGTGACTAGCTCAATGGTTGCCCGCTTTAGCACAGTGACTAGCTCAATGGTTGCCCGCTTTAGCACAGTGACTAGCTCAATGGTCGCCCGCTTTAGCACAGTGACTAGCTCAATGGTCGCCCGCTTTAGCACAGTGACTAGCTCAATGGTTGCCCGCTTTAGCACAGTGACTAGCTCAATGGTTGCCTGCTTTAGCACAGTGACTAGCTCAATGGTTGCCTGCTTTAGCACAGTGACTAGCTCAATGGTCGCCTGCTTTAGCACAGTGACTAGCTCAATGGTCGCCTGCTTTAGCACAGTGACTAGCTCAATGGTTGCCTGCTTTAGCACAGTGACTAGCTCAATGGTTGCCTGCTTTAGCAGTGACTAGCTCAATGGTTGCCTGCTTTAGCACAGTGACTAGCTCAATGGTTGCCTGCTTCAGCACAGTGACTAGCTCAATGGTTGCCTGCTTCAGCACAGTGACTAGCTCAATGGTTGCCTGCTTTAGCACAGTGACTAGCTCAATGGTTGCCTGCTTTAGCACAGTGACTAGCTCAATGGTCGCCTGCTTTAGCACAGTGACTAGATCAATGGTTGCCTGCTTTAGCACAGTGACTAGCTCAATGGTTGCCCGCTTTAGCACAGTGACTAGCTCAATGGTTGCCCGCTTTAGCACAGTGACTAGCTCAATGGTCGCCTGCTTTAGCACAGTGACTAGCTCAATGGTTGCCCGCTTTAGCACAGGGACTAGCTCAATGGTTGCCTGCTTTAGCACAGTGACTAGCTCAATGGTCACCTGCTTTAGCACAGTGACTAGCTCAATGGTCGCCTGCTTTAGCACAGTGACTAGCTCAATGGTCACCTGCTTTAGCACAGTGACTAGCTCAATGGTCGCCTGCTTTAGCACAGTGACTAGCTCAATGGTTGCCTGCTTTAGCACAGTGACTAGCTCAATGGTCGCCTGCTTTAGCACAGTGAGTAGCTCAATGGTCGCCTGCCAGCCGTCTTGGTCTTGGTATTAAAATCCCCATTGAGTCAGAATTTTCAAAACTGACCTTGGCTCCTAGGCTGACCCAGCCCAGAATAGGTACCAGGTGATGCCATGGGAAGCAAAAGCGCCCACCTCACCCACAGTGTTGAATGGTCTACAAAATGTGAGTGTAGCCTCATATACCTGATACCCCAATCATGTAAAAAGAGTCCTTTGCTTATTTACTTCAGTAACTGGAAATTTAGAACAAAAATATACATATGTCAAAAACGTACATATGTGTGCACGCACGCACGCACACAAACAAACAATCAAACAAACCAGAAGAAAATCCAAATTACAATTTATTTGAAACACTATTTTGCTGGATCATCAATCAATCAGTCACAAAATGTTGGTTCAATCATTCCATCAATTGATTACAGATCAATCCAATTAATTGTCTCACAATGAGATTTTCTCACCTACATTCTTTTCATCATCTCTCACAAATAACTTTCAAAATAACATCAAAACCCTTTCTTAATGACAAACAAATAAAACACAACATAAACATTGTCCAGAGGACCTTGTAAAACTGTCTCAATCATTGAATCTAGACTTCTTCTTGGCTGTGAAGAAAAACAAAAGAAAGAAATAGGTTTATCATTAGTTAAGCAAATAATGTCATAAAAATGTTAATCTTTAAAAAAAAAAAACTGTTATTTAGTAACTGCCTGTTCTGTTTTCTTGAACTTTTAAAAGTGTTCAATATTTTTGAGGAAAACCTATTTTTTTTATTCTTTCCAAGATAATTCTCTTGTTCCCGTCAAGATTCAACTTATTTCTCATTTTCCATAAGGACAATTTGTTTTCCTGTTTATGTCATAGATAATGTATGTTGTGTTCCCTGCAAGGGCTATCTATTTCTTGTTTCTATCAAGAACAACCTATTTGCTTTCTTCCATCAAGAACAACCTATTTGCTTTCTTCCATCAAGAACAACCTATTTGCTTTCTTCCATCAAGAACAATCTATTTGCTTTCTTCCATCAATAACAATCTATTTGCTTTCTTCCATCAAGAACAATCTATTTGCTTTTTTCTATCAAGAACAATCTATCTGCTTTCTTCCATCAAGAACAACCTATTTGCTTTCTTCCATCAAGAACAACCTATTTGCTTTCTTCCATCAAGAACAATCTATTTGCTTTCTTCCATCAAGAACAATCTATTTGCTTTCTTCTATCAAGAACAATCTATCTGCTTTCTTCCATCAAGAACAACCTATTTGCTTTCTTCCATCAAGAACAACCTATTTGCTTTCTTCCATCAAGAACAACCTATTTGCTTTCTTCCATCAAGAACAACCTATTTGCTTTCTTCCATCAAGAACAAGCTATTTGCTTTCTTCCATCAAGAACAATCTATTTTCTTGTTCCACCAAGGATGATCTATTATCATTCTGCCACAAAGCACAATCTATTTTCCTTTCATATAAGCAATCTATTTTCTCATAAAGATAACTTATTTCCCTTTCTCTGCATCTCCTTACAACACTCATCAAGTTTTTAAAAAATGTTATATTTTAATTGAGTCAACTGCTAAACTACTGAGCCAGACAACGGCAACATGTCAAGCTTGTTCATCATGCTAGCTCATTTTTATAATGTGTTAATTATTTAATTTAACCCTTTCATCACAAGACGCTTGCCTATAAATCAGCTCTGCTGCACTAGCCAGTTTCCCCCCACAAGCCTAGTTAATAGTTCTGGTTCTGTTTGCACCTGTGCAGTGTTTAGGAGGACCAGATATGATAATATTTACTCAAAATAGCATTTGGGTGAGGGTTTACTGTGGACAGCATGGCTTGTTTTAGTCAAAATGAAGTCATAATGACATAATTCTTTAGCTTTTAGTAATCAGGATCATGGAAAACAATTTCTTCTTGTATAGACTGGAATAGGGTTTGTTGTAATTAAGTAATACCTTCAGATTTACCAGTAGTATAATACACTGATATTATGGTATTAGAGCCAGGGATTGACAGGATAAAGAATGATTTGGTCATTAGTACTGGCTGGCTGGAGAACTCCATGTAAGATGTATATTTTTGTTTTAAACCTCAGGTTTGTAAAAAAAAAAATTTTTAATGCAATGGTACAGACATGTAATATAATCTACCGGCCTCTCCAAAATGATAGAACAGGGCTAGGTAGAGGGGAAGAGGATGAGAGGCACACCAGGAAAGTCCCGGATACAAAATGTGGCTAAATGGGCATGCCTCAAATATGCAAACATAAAGTACATTGGCATCTGAATAACGGAGATACAGGGAATTGATTAGACAGTCAACCGCAACTGGTGACACAATGACACGCAGTGGTTCGGGGCTTCGATGAAAAGCTGGGTTATATTATTATTCAGGTTGTCTTGAGTTCTTAGAAACAGAAAGGGAATTTGTGGAGGTCAAAAGAAATTAAAAATAATATTAAACTAAAAAAATTTTAATGTGAATGTCGAGAAATGTATTTTATCTCAACTGTTTTTTGGTATGGCTATTAAAGGCGATGAAAAAAAATGTGTTGGAATCACTGGCATTGAGTGGGTGGAGATTGCACAATTGGAAGATCTCGACTTTGCAGATGCTGTTCTGCTTAGTATGAACAGCAATGACAGGAACAGACAAACAGATGATTTAGCACATATATCCTCAAAAGCTGGTCTACAAATTAGTTACAAAAAGACAAATGGATTAAAGACACCAAATATAAATCAAGCAGATTTAACACTTAAAAACAAAAAGAATTGAAGTAACAGATCAATTTACTTATTTAGGTAATAATGTTGATAGTCAAGGAAACACAAATAAATAAATGATAATTTGCACTGCAAGGTATCAGCAGCTTTGAAAAACTTCAACAAAATATGGAACTACATTGTATAGTTTTTAACTAAATTAACATATTCTAATGTTATCTGAGTTTTAAATTATGCCAGTGAAAATTGGAAACCCATGGAAGACACGAAACAAAAACTGAATGCATTCCAAAACAAATGTCTGAGGAAAATAATGAAGAAAAATGGGATGATTCAAAAAAGAATAAAAAAGAGAAATGGTCCTCAATGAACAGTTTCAAGACACAGAAGACGGCACTATACTGGATTATTTCTGAGAAGATACGAACGCAGAATCATCAACCAGGCACTAAAATGGGAAAAAGGGGGGTTTTGTGACAACAAAGATGTCCACGGGAAACTATACTCTAAATCAAACGTTGATGAGGTTTGAAGTTTAAACAACGGATCATCATCATGGCACACGGGTAACCCATAAGTGCTCCGTTCTACTTCTAACTCAAGCCTGAGTCGGAAGAAGCTTAGCGCAGTGCACAGGCTCTGTAGCACCGGCAAGGATCCTGAAATACTTTGGGTAGATTTTTAACTCAAAATTTTGCCCGGGCAGCGTTGTTAGACTACTATTTTCGATTTCCAACTACCAAGGGATTTTTAACGTGCGCAACAATGCACACTGGCGTCCAATCTCACTACTCAGAGACCAGGGGGAATTGCTAGAAGTCCAAGTCCAGGTAAAAAAAATCCCAGCCCTTACCAGGGATTGAACCCGGAGCCTCTAGCACTCGGGTCGGACACCATGCCTCGAGACCACGCAGCCCCCCCAACGATGAAAGAAGCTAAAGGTACTGGACTGGATTCTATCCATGATATAGAAGTTACTACAGAGGATAGAACAGAATGGAGAACTAGACTGTGAGCCTTATGTGACAGAATATAGCACAGCAGTACAACGATGAACATTTGCTTGGTCTGTCCTCAGTTATTGTTAAGCTTGTGTTAGGTGGGATCAAAATTTTTGTAACATTATGTCCATCTGCTTTCAGCTCTTTCCTTTTGAAACTGAAAAGCTGTACTGTCTCTTTCCCTATGAAACTGAAATGCTATACGTTCTCTTCCCTTCTGAAAACTGAGATGCTGAGATTTCTTTCTGAAACTGAAAAGCTGTACTGTCTCTTCCCTTCTGAAACTTAAAAGCTGTACTGTTTCTTTCCTTCTGAAACTGAAAAGCTGTAGCGTCTCTTTCCTTCTGAAACTTAAAAGATGTACTGTTTCTTTCCTTCTGAAACTGAAAAGCTGTAGCGTCTCTTTCCTTCTGAAACTTAAAAGATGTACTGTTTCTTTCCTTCTGAAACTTAAAAGCTGTATCGTCTCTTTCCTTCTGAAACTTAAAAGATGTACTATTTCTTTCCTTCTGAAACTGAAAAGCTGTCCTGTTTCTTCCCTTCTGAAACATGAAAAGCTGTAATGTTTCTTTCCTTCTGAAACTTAAAAGCTGTACTGTTTCTTTCCTTCTGAAACTTAAAAGCTGTACTGTTTCTTTCCTTCTGAAACTTTAAAGATGTACTCTTTCCTTCTGAAACTTAAAAGATGTACTGTCTCTTTCCTTCTGAAAGCTGCACTGTTTCTTTGCTTCTGAGAATGAAAAGCATTGTTTATTTCCTTCTGAAACTGAAAGGCTGTACTGTCTCTTTCCTTTTGAAACTGAAAAGCGGTAATGTCTCTTTCCTTCTGAAACTGAACATCTTCACTAGCTTTTTTTCTTCTGAAAACTGAGATACAATACTGTCTCTTTCCTTATGAAACTGAAGTGTCATTCTGTCTCTTTCCTTCTGAAACTGAAGTGCCATATTGTCTCTTTCCTTCTGAAACTAAAATGCCATATTGCCTCTGTCCTTCTAAAAATGAAATGCCATATTGCCTCTGTCCTTCCGAAGTATGATACTGCACTGTCTCTTTCCTTCCGAAATGAAATGCTGTACTGTCTCTTTCCGACTTAAATTGAAATGATGTATTGTCTTTTTCCTTCTTAAACTGTAATACTATATTGTTTCTTTTTTTCTGAAACTGAGTGGTTATATTCCTAAGCTAATTTCCACTGCTTATATGTTTCGGGGTTATTCTTTGTGGTTTTACTACTAAAGGTGTTTACTGTGTGTTTTCTTTGTACTTACTTCTGCAACTGAATCATTCACATTTGATTTCACCTTTTGTACAGAAAACCCAAAGGTAGCCAAAAAATACTACAAGCGCCAAGCAGAAGAAACAACATAGACTCTTACGTTTCTCATCGTCCCTTGTCTTCATACGATGTATGAAACCTTGGCTTTTATTTTTGCGGAACTGGTCAAATGGATCTCTCAAGTCGATGCCAATTCCCTTATGCATATCAGTGCGGTCTCGAATCTCCGCTGCCTCCACTGGGTCAGTCATGCCCTGCTCCTCGGCGCCCAGCCCGCGACCTCCCCAGCCTACATTAGAAAACAGACAGATGAACGGTTTCTCCCCTCAACTCTCACTGCAGTCATCGAACTGTTTTTGTTTTATCTCTAGAACTATACTCTATTTGTTGGTGTATAAGACGCCCTTTTTTGGGTTCTAAAAAAAGGCCTAAAAATTATAGTCTGTTCCAAAAGTAATGCCCTCAAACTAAAACAAATATCTCAAAAACTCTTGTATGGATCAACACAGATGTATACATGTGCTCTTAAATGTCCCATGTCCTTATGATTTGATAATTTACAATGGCACAGGTGCTACTGTTTTCTTAAAGTGGCATATTTCAGTGATCTATTTTTTTTAGATTGGACTAATAATTTGTCTACCCCTAACAAAAGTAATACACAGTAACTGACGCAAATCATTTACTTGAAACCATAATAATCTCACATGTGCAGCGATGTATGGTGATTATTCTGATAGCCTATCCCATATACAATGAAATACTGTGTTAATTTGACTCGGGGGGGGACGCTAATGCAGGAGACTGAAAACCTGAGAGTGAAACACCCTTGAAATGAGTTACAGTTATGTAAATGAGACTACGACATTCATGAAGTATCCAATTCACTATTCAAAATAAGTGTACCTGGCATCGATTACCTATGAAATGTATGCAGTTTGATGTTATGCAAAAAAAAAAAAAAGTTCGCTCCATAAAGTGTAAACATGCTAACTGTATGCTTTGAATCAGTGTCTCTTTTTTCATTTGCCGCAAATCATTCAAAATAAAAACTATAGTTTCATTTATACTATAATTATTTTCCTACAATGACACATGATTATTAACAGGTTGCATGCTAAGTTTCAACAATTTATACCGAACAGTTACTGACTTACAGATTTTTTAAGTCGGGCACAACTTTTGGAATGGACTATAGGCTGCGTCATATACAACGAAGGTAGCATGCACATACCATTATTTTGTGAATGGGTCAAAATATCTTGGTTTATGGTCGGTGTGGTGTTGGTGACGCTCTTGACGGAATTGATGATCATTTTCTTTATGAATCTGAAGATTCCTGTTCTAATGTCCAGTTTAGGATTTAGTGAAGAAGAAACTTCTGACGACAGCGACAGGAGTAAATTTTAAACACATCTGAAGGTCAGTTAATATGTTTTAATATTTTAACATATTAGCTATATTTTTCTTTAATTCTGTGATTTTTCTGGACAAATTCTTCAAATTTTTGGGTTGCGCCTTTTACAAGGAAGTGTCTTATACACCGATATACATACAGTAAACAAGAAAACAAAGGATGTCATACTCTTAACCACAGTCAAACCATTCTCTGGTAGTGGATCAGATAGCTAGTCTCTTGTGATTACGGTTAAAAATCTACAGGTATTTATACTGAAGATGCTAACAAATAATGCAACATACAATATGCTGTTCCTGAGAAAACACAAGAAAGCTGGAGAAATACAGAGAAGTTTCTAGACAACCATTGGTAAGGACAGTTTCAAGAAATAGAAGATGATGACATAATGGGCACACCCTGAGAAGAGACAGAAAGAGAGAATGACCAAACCGACACTGAAATGGGAAACAAATTGATTGAGGTAATCAGGATATCCAAAAGAAAACTTAAGACAAATGTCAATGAGAAAGGTTAAAAGTGCAAAGCTGGGTTCTATCCATGATAAAAAAACAGATTGCAGAGGATAGAAAAGAATACAGGACGTGACTGTGAGCCTTGTGTGACACATAAATAACAAAAAGGATGATGATGATGATAATTAGTTGATGCCTGGGCAAACCACACCTGGGGGCATCCTAGAACCAGGGCTCAAACTCATCAAGACCTATCTACATCTCTTCGCAGTCAACCTGGAAACAAGTTCTCATCAGGGGGCCTGGCTAATGTGTGGTTGGGGTTCATCTGCCTGAATGGCAAGGAACCTAGCCTTATCAATTGATAAATAGGTGAATGTAAACAAGTTATTTATTTTGGGCTTCATTTTATTCAACTGTTACTGCAGTATGCACCTCACGCGATAGAGCTAAATAAGCCAGGCAATAAATTGTATGATCTTTTATGGGCATCTTCTTTGTTCAGATTAATAATCTGTATATTATATACTCTGATAGTTAATTTCAAACTATTTATAGATTTATCAAACAAATGGAGTAAGGAAGCAAAATTCTAGAGCAGCCTGTGGGTCGTGACCCCTTTGGGGATCAAATGACCCTTTCACAGGGGTCGCCTAAGACCATCGGAAAATACATATTCACTGAAACTGTGAAGTAGGAATGAAAAAAATTTTATGACTGGGGAGGGGGGGGGGGGGGGGGGGGGGGGGGGGGGGGGGGGGGTTGCCACAACATGAGGAACTGTATTAAAGGGTCGCCGCATTAGAAAGGTTGAGAGCCACTGGCCTAGAGGAATACTATGGGGAATGTTAATGAAACAGGCCACAAGTACTAGAGTGGATACGATGAAACAGGCCACATGTGCTAGAGTGGATTCGATGAAACAGGCCACAAGTGCTAGAGTGGATTCGATGAAACAGGCCACAAGTGCTAGAGTGGATATGATGAAACAGGCTACAAGTGATAGAGTGGATATGATAAAACAGGCCACAAGTGATAGAGTGAATATGATGAAACAGGCCACAAGTGATAGAGTGGATATGATGAAACAGGCCACAAGTGATAGAGTGGATTCGATAAAACAGGCCACAAGTGCCAGGGTGGATTCAATAAAACAGGCCACAAATGCCAGGGTGGATATAATGAAACAGGTCACAAATGCCAGGGTGGATTCGATGAAACAGGCCACAAATGCCAGGGTGGATCACAAGTGCCAGAGTGGATTTGATGAAACAGGTCACAAGTGCCAGAGTGGATTCGATGAAACAGGCCACAAGTGCTAGAGTCGATTCGATGAAACAGGTCACAAGTGCTAGAGTCGATTCGATGAAACAGGTCACAAGTGCCAGAGTGGATTTGATGAAACAGGCACCAAATGCCAGAGTGGATTTTATGGAAAGTAAACAATGATTGTTTGCCCACATCAAATACAACAGCCATTAAGAAAGAAGAGTAACCGGAACAGTTGGTTTCTGGAAGATAAGCAAAAGGTGAAGAAACTGGCAGATACAAGACAATAAAGACACCCTGGATATGAAAATGCATGAGGCAGGGAACTGGGACAGGATCACAGCTTTTCAGACTTCTCCCCTGTCTGTTGTGTTCAGATGAGAAAGTTTTCAGACGAGAAAGCTTTCAGATGAGAAAGCCACAGATCTCAAAGAAGACTGGTGTAGCGCGTGTCCTGCACTGATCCATGCAGCCTGGTTTCTACTGGAATGCCAACTGGTAAGAACTGTGATTTCACAACTGCATGAAAAGATCATGTAAGCAGTACATGTTTGGTATTGTGTGGAGCCTGTCCACATGGGCAAAGTTCTGAGTACCCAAACTTGAATGTCTTGTACATATGACAGTAGAATCTGTTGTGTCCAGTTTACAATATAGATATATATATATAATTATCTCTACCTTTCAAGTAAGGAGAGTGACCAAGTTTGCAGGTTTGTGTTCCCCATGAGACGTTTTTTGATGTGTTTTTTAAAAGTCAGATTGGAGTGTGATACTCTTCAAAGCATTTTCTAACTGATGATGATGATGATCAGTTATCAATGAATTATCTTCACTTCACTTGGGGCAAGTTCATTGCTATTTTGTTTAATGCTCTGCCATGACAAACAGCTGATTACACCATCCATATCTTCATGACATAACTAACAGCTGATTACACCAGCCCTGTCTTCACGGCATAACAGCTTATTACACCAGCCCTGTCTTCATGGCATAACAGCTTATTACACCAGCCCTGTCTTCATGGCATAACAGCTTATTACACCAGCCCTGTCTTCATGGCATGACTAACAGCTGATTACACCAGCCCTGTCTTCAAGGCATAACTAACAGCTGATTACAGCAGCCCTGTCTTCAAGGCATAACTAACAGTTGATTTTACCAGCCCTGTCTTCAAGGCATAACTAACAGCTGATTACACTACCCCTGTCTTCAAGGCATAACTAACAGCTGATTACACCAGCCCTGTCTTCAAGACATAACTAACAGCTGATTACAGCAGCCCTGTCTTCAAGGCATAACTAACAGCTGATGACACCAGCCCTGTCTTCAAGGCATAACTAACAGCTGATTTTACCAGCCCTGTCTTCAAGGCATAACTAACAGCTGATTACAGCAGCCCTGTCTTCAAGGCATAACTAACAGCTGATTACAGCAGCCCTGTCTTCAAGACATAACTAACAGCTGATTACAGCAGCCCTGTCTACAAGGCATAACTAACAGCTGATTATACCAGCCCTGTCTTCAAGGCATAACTAACAGCTGATTACACCAGCCCTGTCTTCAAGGCATAACTAACAGCTGATTACACCAGCCCTGTCTTCAAGGCATAACTAACAGCTGATTACACCAGCCCTGTCTTCAAGGCATAACTAACAGCTGATTTTACCAGCCCTGTCTTCAAATCATAACTAACAGCTGATTACACCACCCCTGTCTTCAAGGCATAACTAACAGCTGATTACACCAGCCCTGTCTTCAAGAATAACTAACAGCTGATTACAGCAGCCTTGTCTTCAAGACATAACTAACAGCTGATTACAGCAGCCCTGTCTACAAGGCATAACTAACAGCTGATTATACCAGCCCTGTCTTCAAGGCATTACTAACAGCTGATTACACCAGCCCTGTCTTCAAGAATAACTAACAGCTGATTACACCACCCCTGTCTTCAAGGCATAACTAACAGCTGATTACACCAGCCCTGTCTTCAAGAATAACTAACAGCTGATTACAGCAGCCCTGTCTTCAAGACATAACTAACAGCTGATTACAGCAGCCCTGTCTACAAGGCATAACTAACAGCTGATTATACCAGCCCAGTCTTCAAGGCATAACTAACAGCTGATTACACCAGCCCTGTCTTCAAGGCATAACTAACAGCTGATTACAGCAGCCCTGCCTTCAAGGCATAACTAACAGCTGATTACACCAGCCCTGTCTTCAAGGCATAACTAACAGCTGATTTTACCAGCCCTGTCTTCAAATCATAACTAACAGCTGATTACACCACCCCTGTCTTCAAGGCATAACTAACAGCTGATTACACCAGCCCTGTCTTCAAGAATAACTAACAGCTGATTACAGCAGCCCTGTCTTCAAGGCATAACTAACAGCTGATTACACCAGCCCTGTCTTTAAGGCATAACTAACAGCTGATTACAGCAGCCCTGTCTTCATGGCATAACTAACAGCTGATTACACCACCCCTGTCTTCAAGGCATAACTAACAGCTGATTACACCACCCCTGTCTTCAAGGCATAACTAACAGCTGATTACACCAGCCCTGTCTTCAAGGCATAACTAACAGCTGATTTTACCAGCCCTGTCTTCAAGGCATAACTAACAGCTGATTACACCAGCCCTGTCTTCAAGGCATAACTAACAGCTGATTACAGCAGCCCTGTCTTCAAGACATAACTAACAGCTGATTACAGCAGCCCAGTCTACAAGGCATAACTAACAGCTGATTATACCAGCCCTGTCTTCAAGGCATAACTAACAGCTGATTACACCAGCCCTGTCTTCAAGGCATAACTAACAGCTGATTACACCAGCCCTGTCTTCAAGGCATAACTAACAGCTGATTACACCAGCCCTGTCTTCAAGGCATAACTAACAGCTGATTTTACCAGCCCTGTCTTCAAATCATAACTAACAGCTGATTACACCACCCCTGTCTTCAAGGCATAACTAACAGCTGATTACACCAGCCCTGTCTTCAAGAATAACTAACAGCTGATTACAGCAGCCCTGTCTTCAAGGCATAACTAACAGCTGATTATACCAGCCCTGTCTTCAAGGCATAACTAACAGCTGATTTTACCAGCCCTGTCTTCAAGGCATAACTAACAGCTGATTACACCAGCCCTGCCTTCAAGAAATAACTAACAGCTGATTACAGCAGCCCTGTCTTCAAGGCATAACTAACAGCTGATTACAGCAGCCCTGTCTTCAAGGCATAACTAACAGCTGATTACACCAGCCCTGTCTTCAAGGCATAACTAACAGCTGATTACAGCAGCCCTGCCTTCAAGGCATAACTAACAGCTGATTACACCAGCCCTGTCTTCAAGGCATAACTAACAGCTGATTACACCAGCCCTGTCTTCAAGATCAGTTATTTATGTGATATTTTTTTTGGGTTCTCTGAAGGCTGTGCCAATCTTCTCTTCAAGCTGCAGCTTTCTGAACACTGTCATTTATCCACATGCAGTCATCTCTTACCTACCTCTCTCAGAGCACTGATTACACATCTGCTGAACCAACCCAATTCTGGCAGAGTGACTCTGTTCATTACCCACTTCTGAATGATGGAACATGAAAATGAAGGTGAACTGAGGCCTAAAAGTTCATTAACTCAGTGGCTTCAATGCAGATTTTTTTTTTAAAGTCTAGCGCCACCCGGATTTGAACTCATGACCTTCAAATTTGCAGGAAAGCGTCTAGTCACTACACCACGGCAGCTCACATGACTGACTATGATGTTAGCAAACTGGGCAGAGTTGTTTTTAAATCCCACAAGATGCCACTAGCAATGACAGCTGCTGACTGCTTAAACATTATTTAAAAAACATAAGCCAAATGGGACTAAAACCCAGTGAAATAAACTCAATTTTCTCGATTTTCACTTTATTTAACAACAACAAAAAACAAACAGGAAGAAGCAACAATAAATGGAATATATTTTCCACAAGGAGACAACTCACCCATCTTCTTCAACAGTTGATGCCCCTTGTTCTCTTCTCCTAGTCTCATATCAGGAATTGGCTGAGCAAAAGAGGGTCTGAAAAAAAAAAATGGCACAGCTGAAGACTACATTCGATCAGTCAAGAATCATCACTGTCATCAGCTGTAATGAATTTCCAACCCCTTTGTTCTGTATCTTCGTAGAAGATAGCTGAAGAACATACAAGCTGTAGACCAGACAGCTAAAGAACATACAAGCTGTAGAACAGACAGCTAAAGAACATACAAGCTGTAGAACAGACAGCTAAAGAACATACAAGCTGTAGAACAGACAGCTAAAGAACGTACAAGCTGTAGAACAGACAGCTAAAGAATGTACAAGCTGTAGAACAGACAGCTAAAGAATGTACAAGCTGTAGAACAGACAGCTAAAGAACATACAAGCTGTAGAACAGACAGCTAAAGAATGTACAAGCTGTAGAACAGACAGCTAAAGAACATACAAGCTGTAGAACATACAGCTAAAGAATGTACAAGCTGTAGAACAGACAGCTAAAGAACATACAAGCTGTAGAACAGACAGCTAAAGAATGTACAAGCTGTAGAACAGACAGCTAAAGAATGTACAAGCTGTAGAACAGACAGCTAAAGAACGTACAAGCTGTAGAACAGACAGCTAAAGAATGTACAAGCTGTAGAACAGACTGCTAAAGAATGTACAAGCTGTAGAACAGACAGCTAAAGAACATACAAGCTGTAGAACAGACAGCTAAAGAATGTACATGCTGTAGAACAGACAGCTAAAGAACGTACAAGCTGTAGAACAGACAGCTAAATAATGTACAAGCTGTAGAACAGACAGCTAAAGAATGTACAAGCTGTAGAACAGACAGCTAAAAAACATACAAGCTGTAGAACAGACAGCTAAAGAATGTACAAGCTGTAGAACAGACAGCTAAAGAACATACAAGCTGTAGAACAGACAGCTAAAGAATGTACAAGCTGTAGAACAGACAGCTAAAGAATGTACAAGCTGTAGAACAGACAGCTAAAGAACATACAAGCATTAGACCAGATAGCTGAAGAACATATAAGCTTCATACCAGACAGTTGAAGAACATACAGGCTTCATACTAGACAGCTGAAGAACATACAAGCTCTAGACCAGACAGCTAAAGAACATAAAAGCTTCATACCAGACAGTTGAAAAACATAAAAGTTATAGACCAGACAGCTAAAGAACATATAGGCTTCACACCAGACAGTTGAAGAACATACAAGCTCTAGACCAGACAGCTGAAGAACATACAAGCTATAGACAAGACAGTTGAAGAACATAAAAGCTTCATACCAAACAGCGGAAGAACAAACAAGTTTTATAGGCTATCTTCCGAATAACGGTCCAAAATTATCGAATCAGAAAATATACCCTAACAGGGCCTCAGTCACGTGTCAACTGCGGACTTCCGGGAAATATACCGCCACCGCCGAGTCCCAGCCATTTAGTTTAGCCCAAATCCACGCCACGTGAGCGGCGTGGGGGATACTCTCGGCGGTGGCGGAAGTGCGCAATTTAAGTCGTCAGAAGTGCGCAATTGACAGGTGACTGAGGCCTGTTAGGGTATATTTTCTGCCTCGATAATTTGGGACCGTTATTCGGGAGATAGCCGTTTTATATAAGACAGCTAAAGAACTGTTATGAATGCTGTAGCAAGGTTTTTTTAAACCTCAAGAATACATCCCCCACTCACAACATTTCATGATCTGCAGCGGTTTTCATTATCTCTGGTTTGTTATAGCTTTGACGTGTAAAAAAAAAACAACACATTTTTCACATGTTACTCAGTTTTTTTTTCTGCTTTACAAAATATTATATTTAACTGTCCCATTTCGCGCAGGATAGTGAAAGAAAACTATCTTACAATATGGACTGTTGGCAGCACCACAAATTATCACACCCTCCCCCCCCACCCACAACAGGATGGTGCTACTCACAGTTTAAAACACTGGTACAACCAATTCTTGAGTTCTGGAACAGGTTAGTCTCTACTGTAAGTGGCTTGAAACTGTCACAGGTTCCATCACTAATTGCATTCCATATAATTTTTTCAGCATATATGTTGAAAAAGGGATGTAACTAACACCTTATATTTAAATTTTGGGCATCCCTCGGTTTTAATCTTCCGTACTCTACTTTATCTTTGACCTCCACCGCTGTAGTATTGTTTGATTATTCCCCTGAGGCTCTTACTGCCCCTGGCCTGTTCCATCACCCCACAAACTTGACCGACCTAGCTATTGCCACCTAAACTGCACCCCACCCATGAGATAGTAGTGCCCACAGTGGCAAAGACCAATAAAAGATGTTCAAATGTTGGAACTTACATGAATGAAGGTGGTGTTGGACTTCTGCCACGCGACAGGGAGCGTCTGCCAGGTGTCGGGGATCGACTTGACCTCAGGTAGGGCAGAGGTGACTGTGATCTTGACGGGGACCTAGCCTGGCGTCTCCTGGGGCTGCCTGAAGCAGATCTTGAACTGGACCGAGACCTCGATCTTGATCGGGAATTTGACCGCGACCTGAACATGCTGAAATTGAAACCCACAAAAAATATTATTTGTAATATTTTGATTTATTATTTTTTTTTTCACTTTAATTATCAATAAAGTAATAGAATTTTTTTTTTTTTATTATTTATAAAACAAAAAACCAAGGACATTTTGTGTTTGTTTTCATAAGCAGTTTGTATATCTACAGTTACAAGGCTAATTAATATGATTACACAAGCATTTATAGATTAAGAACACTTTCTGACCACAATGTATCTCCATACTTTCTGTTCCTCATGTTGCGGAATTACAAGAGCATCATTGTGCCAGTTCTTCTTTATGGAGCGGAATGCTGGAGAATGACCAAAAAGGATGCACACAAGCTGTCCACCTTCCACCACACATGTCTACGTAGAATTATCAAAATTTTCTGGCCAGATACAATCTCAAACACTAAACTACTTCAAGCCACAAAACCAAGAAACTTTAGACAGTATGATTACCAAGAGAAGATGGAAATGGCTTGGCCACGCTATAAGAATGACTTCTGATATACCTGCTCTCACATGGACACCAGAGAGAAAGAGAAAACAAGGGCGCCCAAAAACAACATGGAGACGAACGATGGAAAGTGACCTGAGTGCGGCATCTTTGACATTGAAAACTGCACTGAAGATTGCACAGGACAGGAAAGCATGGAAAGTCCTCTCTGAAGCCTCATGTGCCACTAGGCATAACGAGAACTGATGATGATGATGATGATGATGATGATGCGGAATCTATTGTACTACTCTTTTAAACAAATCGCATTATGATATGTTGGGGGTCTGGTGGGCATAGGGGTCTAGCAATAGACTCAAGCGGGGCCTGGGGGTCCTGCCGACCTGAAAAAGGTTAGAAACCACTGGAGTAAAGAATCACTGAACAGGTACTGAAATGGGCAAGCAGAAACATGAAGTGAACTACACTCTCCTCTCCTCTGTGTTACCTTTGTGTTGTTCACTTCATGTTTGACAAAAGCTGCCCGGCCGAAAAGTTACGTTATTTGTGTTGTTTGTGCACGTTTTTCTGCTTCCCTATATGGTTAAGCTTTTTAGTCAAATTTTACTGGAATTCCTCACGAAATTAACCTTCAATTCTAAAAGAGTTACTCAAACAATTAAAAAAAATTTGCCTCTGTCGTCTCTCCTCGCTGTTAAACCTCCTTCGGGGAGGACTGTTTTCTTGGCGCCTTGGTGAACCTGTGGGAGAACACGACCTTGAGTCCCATCCTTCCTCCTTCATTCTTCTAGCCCGTTGTTTGGCCCTGAAAAACTCGTACAGCCCTAGCTTCTCCCATCCATCTCTGAAAGCAAAAGAGACCAAAAAGGTAATTTCATAATTAGCATAACTGTAAACATATAGCGTTATTAAATTATTGCGTTCCCATCACAAATAGGTAAATTTAATTCATAGACAGTCTAATTTAATAAGTTCATAACAACTTCTTCTTCGCATTTATCAGCTTTAAACTCTGGCGAAAAGTACTGGTTGTTCAATCACTTCTGGACTGCAGTCCTGTTCCATAACGAGAGTGTTGCGTGCGCATTTGTTTTACAGATCTTACTTATTTGTATGCAGACTGCTGGTTTCTTGCCTCTCAGGCAGATGCACTCCGACTTCAAAGGAAGCTCCTAATTAGTCAGACTCTTACAACATGCTTTTGGGTAGGCAGCGGGTCTATTCTCATTTTCCTGCTGCAATGTTGATAATTCATAACTGGCTTGCAGTCGATTTCTCCCATCTGTCCTAATCAGTGCACATTATACAATGTATAGATCTAGTCCAGAAGCCGCTGTGGTGTAGCAGCTAGATGTTCTGCTTGGGCCCAAATTTCATGGGTTCAAATCTGTATCAAGCTTAATTTTTTCTTTAAAAAAAAAACCTAGGCTCTTAAGTTGACCTAGCCTAAAATGGGTGTCAGGTAAAGGCCTGGGAAGTAAAGGCAACCAGTGTGTCACTTGGTCTATACTCTCTAGGCTACACAGCTTTATAATATAATATATCTAATACACCAAAGGGAGTGGAGAAAGGTCCATTATGTTAGTCTCTTATCTAGTCCAGCAGATCTGATCTCTCTTTCTTCATCATTTGTTATAGGGCTTCTTCATTGGCTCAATCCATTTGTTCCTTATTTCAGGGCCTTTTTTGTAAATGTCCACTTCATCTCTGAATATGCCCTTTATATTCCTCTTCTTTCTCTTCAGTTCTCAATTAGTTTAAAAATAAATTACTAAGTTATAAGCCAGTCTAAAGAAATAAACTTCAAAGACTGTTATCATGAGGAGAAATGTATTTTCAACAATCAGCAAGTAGGAAAGTGGTTTCTAAGCAAATACACTGGGAGCTAAGGGATTCTTTGTCTTCTTTAACCCGGTCACCTGAGACAGCCAGGTGTGTGACGTTTACAGGTTTTTGATGACATGACGTCTTTGAGCGGTTGCCACTAAACCCATAAAACACCTCTGACTTTGTTTGCAACTTTATAGGGTGTGGACATGGTGGGTATGGTTATATTACACCCTTCCTCCCCCTCCCCCCAAATGAGATTTTACTTGGGGTGGGGGGTTGTTTATAATAAACTTATGATAACACTACTTTTCTCACTGCGGCTGTTTGAAAAAAAAACCGTTTTCTTGGTCCAAAAAAAAAGAAAATATTTTGCTTTTTGTTTTTAGAGATTGCTTCCCTTTGTTTATTTAATTTAAAAAAACACACATTTGCCCAAAATAATGACTTCAGATGTGAAACATCCATCCCTTTAACTCTTCGGCTGCACTGACACAGTAACTAGCAGGCTTGCCTGTCTGCTTGGTGGCCATATATTTCAACAATCTGGATTTGTATGAAAAACCTGGCCAAGATTTCAAATGTCTTCTGTTTCTTGTCCTCTTCCTCTAGTTTCAAAGAATTGTCATGATGCATTTCTCATTTGACAAAATTTTTGGGGGGAAAGTTATTTTTAAAGAATCTTAGAAGCTGGGAAATGGATAACTGTGCTTTTAAATAATAGGCAATTTTGGAGATTATTTCCAGGATGAATGTCACTTACACATCTCTGGGTCGTTCTCTAGAGGGTGGTTGGTAGAATGCTTCTACAGCAGCGAGCAGTCGCTCTGTGGGAGGCATTGGAGGCGGCAAGCGAATGTCTTTGGGATCAAGGGGCTTGTATTCAAAGTCCTCCAACTGTTACAGAATAAAAGCATATGTTGTGTTATCATATAATAAATTGATTGCTAAAAAAAAAGTAGGTTTCTGTTTATTTATAACAACATATACTGAAAGTGATAGGTGGTGGCGTAGTGGATAGTGTACTTTTCTTTCTCTAGTGTGTGTTCTGGGGCCCAATTTAGGGGTGGGGAGGAATTGACCCACTGTCCCATAACAAGCATGCTGTAACAGGCAACTAATTAGGGGATATTTCCTTAGAAGAGTCAGACGGCATTTTAAAAGATCTGATCTTCAAGGAAAAGTTGCTAATAAATAATATCTTGTCTCGGTTGCCGAAATATTTTGGTTTTATCAAGCATCATTGCGGACTTTTAAAAAAAAACATTAGCAGAGCGCATGTATAATGCTTACAACCCATTTTAAAAGAAAACAGTGTTAAAATATATATATATATTCAACTTTTGACCAATTTGCCTTCCGGCCTGTTAGAATGGAACTCGGTTTAAGTCAGCAGAAGTCTAATAGCAACAAGTCTTTTCTTCACAGAAAAAATAGTGTGCTGATCTCTTAATTAATGTTTCCTTACCCTAATCAAAGGTGCCATCAAGCCTGCAGGGAGATCATAGTATGGCATTGAAGGTGTGAGGTCCAGATCTGACTGTGACATTAATGGAGGCAGACCCGGTGGTGGAGGCCCCAGTGGAGGGAAGCCTGGTGGTGGCTTGCTGAAGTCAGGCAATGGCATCAGACCAGATCCTCCTTGCATATCTGGCGGCAACATGGCTAGGATGACCCAAAAAAACGCACAAGTCACGTATATTCTCTCTGAATCAGTGAGTTATGTGTTATGAGTTAAAAGCCTACATTATCCCACTATAGACATTCCCATAAGTGCTCCATCCCCATCTTTGGTAGCAAGCTCAGCAGGATTAGTAAAATAAAAAGTAACAGTTTCATTTCCATGACTTCTGGTTCATGGGTTAGGAGCACTGTCTGGATCTTTTCTCTGGAGTAAGTCAGTGTGTTGTGAAATGAACAGGCAGACAGACTGACTGGCTCTGCACAACTTGGTGGAATACTAATGCTTGATAAGGCAGACGTGGTTAGGGCCTTATGGGAAAATGTGTACAATATGGAGCAGCAAATGGATCAATAGTCTGTTGAGAGTGATGCAGCGGGGGGGGGGTATTGGAACTCTGCACTGGCTGCTGAAGATGGGGATGGAGCACTTATGGGAATGCCCCGAGTGCAGTGTTATCGGTTCTTGAATCAACTCAGATCTGGTTCAGTGGTTAGTAAAGGAAAGTAAGGGACCCAGAGGAGCATGGGGTATTCGATACTAAACTCACATTTTTATAGGCCGGTGGGTCAACATTATGCCGGCCACTTTCGCAGGAAATGACATGGTACCAATTTTTAGGTGACCGCGTGCCAATCGATCTACAAAATATAGGTCTAGCCCTATATGCTCAATGTGGCGACTGCGGCTTAGGCGTTGCAAGTCCGACTTGTACTTCCAACATACTGCGATCGAAACCCACTGCTGGTTGTGTGGATTTTTATCATGGTATGGATGGCCACAGGTCGACCCAACCTTAAATAGGTACCAGGATGGATGACCTGGTGAAGCAAAGATGTGCGGTGTAATGATGACCAAATTACCCACCTAGTGCCGATTGGTCTGTAAAAATGTGGGTGCTCTTTCCATGTGCAGTTGTGGCTTACAGAGACTGCATGCACTTTTCAGCCCAACACATACAGTTTCAGAAAAAAGCTCATTTAAACAATTTTTACGATATGCTTTTGAAAGGTATGCTCTAGGACCTACTAGAGGAGCCACGGGTTCTATATCCAGTTGTGAGTTTAAAGAAAATATTACAACTGCTGTGTGTCAGCTAAATACCAGAGGCACTGTACCTCAATATTTTTATCATGGTATGGGGTGCCGTAGGTTGACCCAGCCTAAAATGGGTACCAGGATGGCTGTCCTGGGGAACAAAAGATGACCGGCGTAATGCTGATTACATTACCCACTTAGTGCCGAAGGTCTGTAAAAATATGGGCGCTCTTCCTAAAAGGTGTGAAAAGGGATCTTCACTTTACTTTTTGCTTTAATGTTCCTGACTAAGGTTGTGCTGGAAATAATCTAGAGGGAAGATGTGCAAGAAAATGACAAGGTTACTGGTGGTAGTTCATACCAAGAACTGAACTGGAAGAAGCTTATTCTGAATACAGTGTGAAGACACAGGGGCAGATGGTGTCAGGGACTTTAAAACTGACCTTCAACAGGAAGATGGCACCAGATTTTCCAAGAATGGCTTCTAGGGCACCAATTGTGTGGGGGGGGGGGGGGGGAATAAAAGATCCACAGCACCCCAAACACAGAGGTCATAAAAGACAGACTAATTAGGTATGTTTCCTTTGAAGTCCGAGTACATCTAACTGAGTACTTTTTTTCTCACCACATGACCAAAGAATTCCGTCTTCTTCTCATTGTTGTATATAATGTTCTACTTTCATTGGCCATTTCTAGACATTCATTGTCAGTTATTCTGGCAGTCCCTGGTATTCTCAACATTCTTCTCAAGAACCACATCTCAGCTGCCTCCAAACTTTTTGTAATTTGTTTGTTCACATTCTAAGATTCAATGCCATACAACAGAATTAGGCTAGATATAACATTTCAGTACTCTATTTCTGATGTTGAATGAGGGTGCTTTATTACATAAGACAACAGATAAGTCACATCTATAAAATGGATGTGAATGCAAAAGACAAGTTCTGGAATAAGATTAAAGTCCAGAAAGTGGACAGAAAGAAAATGAAGAAGACAGGTAATTAACATCTATTACCCATGCTAGACCCGTGGTTATATTCAAACTGCTGCGGCTGCTGAGACCCATGCTGGAGACCACCATACATGTTCGGTCCTGGACCCATACCTCCGGGTCCTCCATTCTGATTGTAACCAGATACCTGAAATAACAAACAGAAGATAGGGAAAATTAACTCTTTTAGTCCAAAGCAATATTTTATGTGTGATCTGAGATACATCTTTTGCCCAAGAATAGTTCAATTTCACCTACACACCTATTTGCTGGTTATGGTGGTAAAACTGCAATGGTTTTGCTTCAAGTAGAAGAGAATCTGCAAATCTAAATTAATAAATTAACTAGCTCAGATTCTGTTCCAGCATTTTTAGAAGACCCCTCTGTTAATCTCAGTGTTGATACGTGAAAAAGTTTTTAGATGTTCAGTTATCTGAATTAAAGAAACTTCAAAGCTCTATAACCAGTCATGATCTGAAAGTTATTTATAAAGTTTCACTTGCAAAAGCATGGTGGTTTTGAGCACAAAGAAACACTGTTCAACTATTTGATGATGACCACTCTTTCTTTCATCCGTTGTGAAACCATACTGAGTTCTCTGAGTCCAAGGTGACTTATATTATGCCCAATACGGGCCCGGAAGGATCTAGGTCAGTGGGGCAGGGAATAGTTTCTGCAGGTGAAGAGCCTGTTCTACATGTTTTTCTAGCCTGTCTTCTCTGTTTAGCTGCCCTTTTTCTAGATGCCTCAAAAGTTGCTGTGCCTCTTCAGATTGTCGTTCATCATTCAGTCAGATCCTGTGCAGCCTCCCAGGTGTCAGGGTTTGTAGTGAAGGTTTTAAGTGATGCCTTTAACGTGCCCTTGAAGCTGTATTTTTTTCCCCCTGCCACCATGAGAGAGTCTGCCTTCTTGCATCTCACTGTAAAAGATTATTTTTGGGAGCCGATGGTCTGGCCAATGGATGCAGAGACCTGCCTATCGAATCTGTGTCTGCATCAGGATGCTATCGATGCAGGGAATGCTAACTCTATCCAATACATCAGTATCCGGTACCCCGTTTTGCCACCTGATGTTCAGTTTCTTTCTCAGACAAGCACTGATCAAGTGCCAACTGGTAAAAACAAATATGAAGCCATGACACTATTCTCAATATGTATTTTTCCTTGACAAGTAATGTGATTTCTGGCAAACATAAACTCAATGACAGTAAGGTTAACCTTTACCTGATCATTAACCATGCTGTTGGTTGGATGATATGGCAGTATTCCTCCTGGGACTTGCTGGTGCGTGGCTAGTGGTGTCATCAAGGGCAAGGATGGAGGGACCCCAGCAGTTGAAGATGCAGAAAGACCACCTCCATCTAGACATGCAGAAGAAGTGAAATACTTACTAAATTAGCTGATCTTTGCCATTATATTTTTTCTGAAACTTCAAGATACATGGTCTGTTCAAAAAGTCTCCGAACAGTGGTCGGTAAAATTACAATTATTCACCTGGACGTCTGAAACGTAATCAATTTCAAAGCTTTCTGCTTAGTACAGCACACTTCTTCCAGTGGTTAAACCCAGAACCTTTTAGAAGAATGAAGCTGGTGTGTTGTGCAATGAATCTCTTTGTCTGACCCATGAATGATGCAGTGTACAGTCTAGGCAATGTCAAATAAGATTTATAGAGATAAATGCACCTAGTCTAGACATAGTGGAATGAGATTCACAAAGGTTTCTGTATCTAGTTTCGACACTTTGAAATGAGATTTCAAGAGATTCATGGACCTTGACACTGTGCAATAATATTTAGAGAGATTCCTGTGTGAAGATACTGTGGAAAACAATGTTTGAGATTCCTGTACTAAGTCTAGTCTAGACACCATATAAAAAGATTTAGACAGATTCCTAAACCTAGTCTTGACCCTGTGGAATGAGACAGAAAGATCTATGTAACTTGTCTAAACTCAACAACATGAATGAGTTTTAAAAAAATACCCCTGTGCCTTTCATGTACGGAAGTTGCTGGTAAACATGACAGAAAAAGAGAGATTTGTATACCAATGCCTAGCATATGTTAAAGAGACTCAGTAACTGAGTGACAGAACTCCCTGTCTAAAAATGGGGAATTTGCCTCAGCAAAACCTAAAGCTGGAGACAAACTTTTCAGAGTATCAGCAGAACTGTTAAATGTGCTGTTCATAGTGTGTTGGTATATGATTATACAGAGATGTGTTGACATAGTGGTTTGAAGGCTTGCCTACCCAGACAATTTTCTGTTTTCCCAGTAGTCGTAGTCGAAGCTTCTGCATCAACACAATCGGGTTTCTTCATACTTGCTCTGTTCATAAGCCAGTGAAAATCAAATGAAATGTCCCTCATTACTGCCGCTGAAAAACTGGTGAACAAACAAATAGTCCCGGAACAATCAAGTAAATGCATATTTCAGCTGCTAGGGCCAACAAACGCCATCAGAAATGCAGTTTGTCGTTGATGGAAGTAGTCGGGCACGATAAGTTGTTTACTATACACACGCAGAATTATTACAAAGGGTATTTCACCAGCTCACACGTAAACCGGCTACCGGTCATGAATACCACGACACAACCACTTCACTAATGAAAGGCATTCCACAGACTGAACTAAAGAATACAAATGACAACTCTATACTGACCGCCAGACTGGGCCATTAGGACTTGTAGCTGTTGCTGGGCCGTGGCCAGCTGGAGATTGAGATGAGCAACAAAGTCCTGATGCTGTTTCTCCAGAGAACTGTACTGCTGCTGGATGGCTTGGGTGATGGCTGTCACTGCCTGGGCATTCTCTGTGATCAAGTTAGCCTGAACACATGGACAACAGTGATCAAGTTAGCCTGAACACATGGACAACAGTGATCAAGTTAGCCTGAAACCCCAGATCCCACATGAGGAATTTTTCATTTTATTGGTTTAAATTGTTCTTGACTTTTTTGGACTGTAGCACAGCGGATGAGATCGGTGGCCCCACGAACAATATTCCCAAAGACAACAGTGAGTGCAATGCAGCCAATCATCACTGTAGAGATTTCATTTGTTTTTATTATCGAAGCATTAACAATTAAGCCCCTCCCCCCCCCCCCCCCCCTCAGGCTGGCACCTATGGGAGGTACAGCTTAAGTAGAGACTGTTCTCCCAAACCATACCAAATGACCATCACTGTGGGACTGTGCTGCAGTGAAATGACAACCTACTCCTAGACAAACTATTATCTGGTTTCTCAACATGTCCTATCCAATGCCACCCTACCCCACACTTTAGTGATTCTGCCCTACATCGGTTTTCCTTCTATTCTGTTGAGGTGCTCGTCAATTAAATTTGTTTGTTTATTATAGTAAAACCTCATTAGCACAAACATACTTAAGACAAACACTCAGTTAACATGGAAAATACATTTTTTACGCTAGGGATTTATTATTCATAATATATGTATTGGTCCCCAATGAGCACAAATTTTTGTATTATGAACTCTTGATTTTTCTGCCCTATTGAATTTGTGTTAACTAGGTTTTACTGTAGTTGTTTGAGATAATGACCATGCTTGTGACCTCTACATCAGTAAATGTGACTTTGGTGTTAAATATTTTGACCTCTACATCAGTAAATGTGACTTTGGTGTTAAATATTTTGACCTCTACATCAGTAAATGTGACTTTGGTGTTAAATATTTTGACCTCTACATCAGTAAATGTGACTTTGGTGTTAAATATTTTGACCTCTACATCAGTAAATGTGACTTTGGTGTTAAATATTTTGACCTCTACATCAGTAAATGTGACTTTGGTGTTAAATATTTTGACCTCTACATCAGTAAATGTGACTTTGGTGTTAAATATTTTGACCTCTACATCAGTAAATGTGACTTTGGTGTTAAATATTTTGACCTCTACATCAGTAAATGTGACTTTGGTGTTAAATATTTTGACCTCTACATCAGTAAATGTGACTTTGGTGTTAAATATTTTGACCTCTACATCAGTAAATGTGACTTTGGTGTTAAATATTTTGACCTCTACATCAGTAAATGTGACTTTGGTGTTAAATATTTTGACCTCTACATCAGTAAATGTGACTTTGGTGTTAAATATTTTGACCTCTACATCAGTAAATGTGACTTTGGTGTTAAATATTTTGACCTCTACATCAGTAAAAATGTGACTTTGGTGTTAAATATTTTGACCTCTACATCAGTAAATGTGACTTTGGTGTTAAATATTTTGACCTCTACATCAGTAAATGAGACTTTGGTGTTAAATATTTTGACCTCTAAATCAGTAAATGTGACTTTGGTGTTAAATATTTTGACCTCTACATCAGTAAATGTGACTTTGGTGTTAAATATTTTGACCTCTACATCAGTAAATGTGACTTTGGTGTTAAATATTTTGACCTCTACATCAGTAAATGTAACTTTGGTGTTAAATATTTTGACCTCTAAATCAGTAAATGTGACTTTGGTGTTAAATATTTTGACCTCTAAATCAGTAAATGTGACTTTGGTGTTAAATATTTTGATCTCTACATCAGTAAATGTGACTTTGGTGTTAAATATTTGAAGTCCCATTCACAAAGTTATCCATTCAGCACATTTTTGATATTTCCATTCTGATTTTTTTTTCTTTCTGAGATTACTTTATCTGTACAAACAAGGTTTTAAAAGTTATATTAAGTAAATCCTGGTGTACCCCGTGTGGGTTCCGGGGCCCTGTTATAGGAAAAACAAGAATAGACCACTGCCTACCCAAAAGCATGTCGTAAGAGTCGATTAATTGGGAGCTTCCTCGAAATCGGAATGCATCTGCCTGAGAGGCATGGAACCAGCCGTCTGCATACAAATGAGTCAGATCTGTAAAATGGATGCACACGCAACACTCAGGTTCTGGAACAGGGCTACAGTCCAGAAGTGCATGAACAACCAGAACTTTCCGCCAGAGTTTACAGCTGGTGAACACGAAGAAGAAGAAGAATCCTTGTGTTTGGAAGTGAATCACTGACAATCAACAAATCTCTAAAAAAAAAAAAAAACTGATTACATGGAAGTCATAGCAGTCTGAGGAGAACATCAGAAATTAAAGTGATAAAATTTGAAAAAAATGAGTGAGAGAAGAAAAGATTGTAGGCTACAAAAGAGATAGTCATGCAGACAGAAAGGCAGGCAGAATGTGAACATACCTGATAACCAGACAATGCCTGACTTGGATCTTTCATTTTCTAAAGAGCCCGATTGAAAAACATTAAAAAGTATATATAACCGAGATAAACACATTGCATTGTTCTTTTTGTTTTTTTCTAAATAAATATACAAATGAAAATTTACTGCTGCTGAACTAAAATAAAAACATAAAATCATTTTTAATCTGTCATATTAACGAGTCATGTAGCATCATCAAGATGCATCATAAAACTACAGCATCACAAGAACCACCCAAAACAACAACAGATGCAATAATACAGTATACACAATAAAAAATGCCCTTTTGCATACTTATTAATCTACTGTAAATTTTGCCCATAGATAGAAAGGGGGGGGGGGGGGGTGTGAAAGGGAGGGGGACAATGGTGCAGCAAGGAGTGACCAGGTGTTCTGACCGACACTCAGGATTCAAAGGAAAGGCAAGACGGATATACAATCAGACTGCCACTGGTCACTTGGAACTGGAACTCTGCATGGCTGCTGAAGATGGGGATGAGGCGCTTGTGAGAATGACCCAAGTGCAGTGATGTTGGTTCTCAAATCACTGTATATTTTGTATTTTAATAGCTCAAAGACATGATGTAGCAGAAACTACTGCTTTGACTCTATACAGCACATTTTCAGACAGTTCTTTATTATTCTATATCGTGTATACATTTGAGAAAGCTCTTCTTCTGTTCAATGTTACAGCAACCTACCCCCCTTCTCTGCCCACATACAAATGGTGCCAATCTCTAATGGAGATTGGATACAATGTATTTTGGGAATACTACATGGCAAGACCCCAATCTATTCGGTGATGTGCCTCTCGTATCAGTCTGAAAGCCATGAGAACTCAAGTTTTCTTTTTTCCTTTACTGCCGACTACGGGAATCGAACCCCGGGAAACATTGAAGACTGCACTGTGAAATCTTTTCACTTGCCTCAATGCTACAGAGCTGCACTCTGTCCCAATTATTACTTTATACCATTGTTTCATAGCTTATCTTTTAATTCATAAAGACTCAATGATTGTTCCTCTAATGTGCACACACTGTTGGACAGAAAGTACTGTAGCAGCAAATGCTTGAGACTGCAAAAGGTGCAGCTACATCAGATGTTCTCTGACAATTTAAAAATGTTTACGGATCTATACTCCTGGAGGAGCTTATGGGAAAATAATGAGTCTAACAGAGGTAATAATGATGTTATATTTATGTGCAGAGTCATTTACTTTAACGGCATTAACATAGATTTCTATTATGAAGTTATTTAAAGAGTTTTTCATCAGGTTATAACTGGCACCATCAGCATGGGAACGCTTTGCTGGCTACTAAGGAGGGGGATTGGGCAGGTGTGGGAATGTCCCGAGTGATGTGTGAGTCAATTCTTGGTTGATTCATTTATTCATTAAAAAGCTTTTCACACTGTGAAAACAAACATTGCTTTGATTCAACAGTAAACTCAAAAAATTATATAGCAAGTTAATTTGGCACATTGGGTTTTGCTTTCAGCCAGGTTAGTATATGTGCGAGTTTATCCCCCCCCCCCCCCCCCCCCCCATTTTTTTTTTTCAATGGGGTACCAGAGCCTGCATGGGGACTGTTGAATATGAAAATCAAATTACACATCATACAAAACATAACTATTAAAGTCAGTCAGCTGTTCGTCGATCACAAGTGATGAGGACTACTCTTTCTTTCATTCGTCATAAAACTATAGTAGATTGTCTGTGAGTCCGGAGGTGACTCATAAGCTTAACATGGCTCCGGAAGGATCTAGGACAATGAAGTCAGGAAACAGTGTCTAAAGGTAAAGAACCTGTTATACAGCTTTTTCTAGCCTGCCTGCGCTGTTCAGCTGCGCTTTTTCTAGATGCCTCACAAATGGCAGCCCCTCCTCTGATAGACTTTAACCATACTGTCCGGTCTTGTGCAGCCGCCTCCCAAGTGTCAGGGTTTATACTGAAGGCTTTAAGTAATGCCTTTCAAACCTTAAATATAATTTAATATAATACTGAAAGTAGGAAAGACAGTGAGGGGAAAGGACAGCTGCAGATGCTACTGATGCTAATGTTTCGCCACATGGATTACCGCTTTCACCCAGAAGAAATCTAAAAACATGGCCTTTTTCAAGATTTCTCACACAAACACTGAGAAGAGAAGAAGAAGCAGAAGTCATCTGCAGTCTTGGTCAGGTTTTATAAAATTCCAGGGGGGTTATATCTATGAGTACAAATGCACAACAGGAAAAGTCCTTAGACCTGGGAGTCATGACCTGGGTTGGCCTGTCCCTAAAGGCATCTGGAACATATAGGGACAAAACGCTTATCAGAAGGAGGCTTCTGATGATGCTCATTAGCTCCAGTTGTGTCTGCTGCTCTCCCATGGAGTACTTTGTACATGCTAAGCATATAGTTACAGATGAGCAATATCTGCTGTCTTTCACGACAAATCCATCTTTTTTCATACATGTATTGCTACAAATATTGTTGTCTCTTGTTAAAAACTTAGAGCTGTTGAACAGTTACTGACATATCTCTGTGGTTAAGCCATTTGCTCTGAATGTCCTGAGTTTGTTTCACTTGTAAACCTTCAACTTGAACATATCTAAGTTAAATATAATGATCCATTTTGAAATGTTTCCAGAATATGGCCAAAGTTGGGAGATTACAGATGCAACCAAATATTTAAGAAGGCAAAGTTAATATGTATTTGATGCATATCACCATAAAATGTCAACAATGTATGTGAATAATTCAAGAACTAAGCACATTATCCTTATAGTGCAATAAATCAAGCATAATAAAATGAGTTACGTCTGTCTGTCCCAATGAAACAAACAAAAAAGTCAAGCTCCATATTCACCAAAATCATACCAGTAAAATTACAATACAAAATAAACCTGAATCAAAGTATGGAGAAAAAACATCTTGTGTTAACTTTGGAAAGCCAAAAAAGAATTCTGAATGCTTCTAAAATGGTCATATCAGCCCAGTAATGCTTATAATAATGAGAAAACATCTGAAACAAATGAAACATGTCTCACCTTCAGCAACTGTTTGTTACATTATTAATTACAAAATAAAAAATAAGATCTATTTCAATACATCAAATGTACCAGCAACATTACTTCTTCTTCTTCTTCAGCATTCCAAACCCTTGAGGTTCATTGCTGCATAAATCACCCGCCTCCATTCATCTCTCTGGTTTGCCTTCTCTTTTCAGTTGGTGACACCAAGTGTTTGCAGGTCTGTCTGGATATTATCTCTCCATTTCTTCTTGGTCTTCCTCGTGGTCTACGACCATTTATCTCCCTTGTGTATACAGTTTTCACTTCTCTGTCATTTGACATTCTCTCAATATGCCCCAACCATTTCAGTCTTTGAAGGCTTGCAACATTACTAGTTTTACAAAATCCCTAAGTTAGTTGCGTATCCTTAACAGGACACAGCAGAACCAACTCCAGCAAAATTTTTTTTTTTTTTGGTGGCTTTCGGTTTTATCAGATAATTTTATGTTCAGCAGATTGCCATTTCTTTCTGAACAGTCAGATCTGGATACCACTGTTAAAGAAGTCTGCTGCCAAATCACCTGCAGCTGGAATAGAACTAGGTATTTGGAATTCTGAAGTAAAATCTCTACATGCATAATATTTAGAGAAATTGGGACCACCATTATTAGGTATCCAATGATTGGTATTGGAAGCTAAAGTGATATAGTGGATAGAGTGTTGCCTGCTAAGACAGTGGTTCTGTTTCAATCCTCACTGGAGGCAGAATTATATCTGACCAGTAGGCTTCTGACTTTTCCAAGGCTGACTTGGTGTGAACTGGTTGAGGGCCTATGCAATGTTGAAAATTTTGGGGAATTGACTTGGAAGAAAGATTGCAAGAATACTGACTGCCCCAGATTATATGTCATATCCTAGCATAAGTTATAGTGCTTTCTATCTAATTGGCAGTATCTGCTATTGGGCTATTTGTTGCAAGTGTTGATTCCGATCATGCCCCTTCCTGCTCAAAGGACACATCAATCCACTTCGTAAAATGACTAAATGTGCCTCTAGTGTGATAAAGTTGTTCCTTGATGTAATGACTATCATCACGGTACTCTGGAGAGATCCACACACGCTCCAATATCCTCCTCAATAGCTCTACAAGCGTAAACAAGCTACTCCCATTTCCAACAACCCGGGTAGGGATACTAATTCCTGCTTGTTGTAGTTGTCGTCACAATATGCAAGGCGTTGTTGAAATCTCCTGTTACTTGCATATCTTCTTTTTCTTCTTCTTCATCTTCCTTGTTCACCAGCTGTAAGCGCTGGCAGAAAATCCTGGTCGTTCATCCATGTGGACTGGCTTTGTGCCAGGGCCTGAGTTTTGCATGTACAACCATTTTACTGGCTTATTTCTGTGCAGCTGGTTGTTCCTTCCTTCCCACTCAGACAGATTTACTCTGACTTCAAAGGAAGCTCCCAATTATTCGACTCCAACTAGATGCTTGCTTAGGAGGCAGTGGGTCTATTCTTGTTTTTTCCCCAAATTAGCCCTGGAACCCACTTGGGGATGTCTATTTGTGAGGCCAGTCTTCTTTAGTTCATCCTAACTAACCAACCTTTTTGTCTATAGTAGCAAAGTCAGTCTCATGACAAATTATCTTTTATGTCCATCAGTTTCTATCTTTAAGTAAACAGAGGAAAGAAATAAAGCGATGCTTTTTTTTTTTTTTTTGGTTCTTATAAGAAACAAAAGATTTGATATCTGTGAATTCTGCACAAGTGTCATCAATATCATTCATCTGCAGCTGACAGCATTAGTCAACATAATGAAACAGAATGATATATAATACAGAAAAAATATTTGTGATAAACAGGCTGCTCACCTACTTTCTAAATAAGGCAATCTTAACAAAGTAGTGGTTATATGTGGTCTTTCCATGGCACAGTAATAGTTCCCCTGTCCTTAGTCAAAGGATTTTTCCCCATCAGAAATCTTCTTGTTGTTGGTCAGTTAACTCAAAGCAGAATGTTGGTGTGTTATTTAAAACGTTTGTAAACGAGCATTTTTAAAGCTACACAGCACAGAGGACATGATGCTAGATGCATATTTTGTAGACTCATCAGCAATCGAGGGGTGATATGGTCACCATCACACCAGTTGCCTTTTGTTGCCATGACATTTTCGGGTACTAATTAAAGAATAATGCTTCTTTTTCTTCTTCGCGTTCACCGGCTGTAAACTCTGGCGGAAAGTTCTTGTTGTTCGTCCACTTCTGGACCGCAGTCTTGTTCCAGAACCAGCGCGTTGTGTGTGCATCCGTTTGACTGATCTGACTAATTTGTTTGCAGACTGTTGATTCCTTGGCTCTCAGGCAGATGCACTTCGACTCTGAAGAAAGTTCCCAATTAGTCGACTCTTGCGGCATGTTTTTGGGTTGGCAGTGGGGCTATTCTTGTTTTCTCTATAATAGGGCCCCGGAACCGACACAGGGAAAGAATAGGGTTAATCTAGGAGCCCAGGTCAATTTTTAAAATCTATATCAATGAAGATTTGAACCCAAGCCCTTGGGACCAGTAGGTAAGCAGGGGTATGTAATCAGTCTAAAGACAATGAGACCCCAAGTACAAATCTACAAAAGATATTAATCTACTGAACTGCGACTAAGAAGCTTAACCGAGGGGGAGGGAGAACAACACACAATCAAGAAAAATCAGACATTTCCCCCCAGTCTTTATAAACAAAAAACAACACCAACAACTAGGGGCAGAGTATCCTAGTCACCAGTCAACACAGAGAAGGATCACATGAATAACAATAAAATATAGAAAGAGAAAAGGATGAAGGAAAAGATGATAAATCTACACACCAAGATACAGAAGTATTTTGAAAAAAAAAAAAATAGTTCTAGGGTTTAAAAAAAAAAAATCAAGTTCCCAAACAAGTCAGAATAATAAAATAAATGTTCACCTCAAGAGTATCAGGTCCAAAGTATTTATTCTTCTCCCATAGTTCCAGCAACTGGGGAAGTGGAGAAGAACAGAAATATGAAAAATGTGTAGCTTTAAATTATAACTAAAAGTAAGTAAACAAAATTCAAAACCTTCCGCCGGCAGGCAAGCATCTGTTTGATATACTACTGCAGCTCTTAGAACAAGAGGAGCAAATAATGCATCACAATCTTTTCAGGTCCCGTGTACTGAAGATACAACTGTTACCCTCAAATCCCGACATTACCAACACTCTGTATGAAGACAGACCAAAAAGATCACTTACACAACTAAGCACAAATGTGAAAAGAGTAAAACTTGTAACTGGAAATCAGATAAGTAATTTTTTTTAAAGGTGCAAATAAATACATACATGTACTGGTAACTGTATTGAACTATATCTGAGGTATCTCATATAAAGTGGATAACTTTATTGTGCCCAGTGAGAAGTCTGTCACAATTAAAACTGCTATGAATTGAGACCACACACCCCCCCCACCCACAACCCGTTTAGGTTACCTTATTCAATTTCTGGACCTTGTCTTCATCGGCACTCAGACTTGAGGTACAGAAGATTGGAACGACCACTGTTTCTAGCGCCATACGAAGGTTCTCTACGTTGCGCCTGACACTGAAATACATTCAAAATGTCACAGAATCATCACGGATGTTTATCTTTTTTCACCTCACTGTTATGCACAATTTCTTCTTTATATTTCAAGCACTTTCCTGTGTCCGTTTAAGGCCTCAATTTGGAAGAAAAAAGCACAGAACGACTGTATCTTAATGATCTAGTGGTTAAAGGTGACCAATTACGTTTTTTCTGAAATCAGGTGTGCTGGACTGAAAGGCTGATATCACAGTCTGGCTGTAAACCACATTACAATGTGCCAACTCCCCTCATAAGGGTTAAAAATCTTTAACCTTTTGGACTTTGAGAATTAACATAATTAGAAGCAATAATAAAAGAAAGACTTAAAAGTAGCAGATTAAGCAGAGTAGGTTAGTGCATCAGTTGGGAGGGGGAACAAGGCAGTAACAACAAAACCAGACTACAAAGCTTGGTACAAAGGTAGGCCAAGAAGAGCCTGGAAAAAATAAACTAGCATACTGGATGGGTTTCAAATATGAAAACATCAGGTCCAGTAAACTTGACAGACAGAGGTGGAGGGTTCTGATTAGACAGCTCCCCGTGTGGGTTCCAGGGCCCTATCATAGGGAAAATAACAATAGACCCACTGCCTACCCAAAAGCATGTCGTAAGAGTCGACTAATTGGGAGCTTCCTTCGAAGTCGGAGTTCATTTGCCTGAGAGGCAAGGAACCAACAGTCTGCACACGAAAGAGTCAGATCTGTCAAACGGATGAACACGCAACACTCAGGTTCTCAAACAGGACTGCAGTCAAAAAGTAGACCAACAACAAGAACTTTCCGCCGGAGATTACAGCTGGTGAACGCAAAGAAAAGGAAGAAGATTAGACAGCAACAGCAACTGGTGACTCAACAACACACTGTGTTATGGGACTCATGATAATCTTCTTCTTCATCAGGTGTCCAGTGTGATGTAAATGTCTTGTGTCTGTTTAAAGAATACCTACAGTGTATGCACCTTTCGACCCACACATCCGACTTCTTCTGGCATTTGTTTTCGGGGTTAGCTTTTGGAATGAGCATTCCCAAGTAGTTTTGTTGGACAGTGAGTGACATTTTAGAGCCTTGTTTGTGTGGTCACTTCATCATCACCTGATCCACAAGTGTTGTCCCTGAAAGACTCCTCCAGGATAGCCACATGCAAACTGGTCAGTCCTCAAAGGAGGGCAGGTGCAGAACATAAGCATTCCCCGCCACACAGGGAGGCTTTCAAACATGCAGAGGTGATACATGGTACTAGGTTCATCCAAGGAATCATCAAGTCTTGCACATGACTGCTCAACCTCACACCCATATATTGAGCCTTCCACTCTTTATGGGCTGCACCCATCAGCCATCCGCAGAAAGTAGTCTACAGACCGGTCTTGGATTACTTTAATAAAATGGGCATAGTATGGTAATGTTAGACTTCTTTCTTTGCCAGTGGCCCCTTTCTTTGTGGGTTCTCTGTGATACTCTGTGCAGCGTTTGTGGGAAACATGCATCAAGCATAGCATCCCAATGTGAGATTTAATCTCAAATAATTGTGGCCAATGGGTAGCTGACATTTGAAACTTTTGTGTCATAAAGTAGGATCATTGAGCAAAAGACATCTGAACCTTTGCTGCCATATAGAAGGACATTTGATGGATAGACATTTGAGCCTGAGTGACCATTTATTAGGACTCTCGGTCGATATTTGTTTGAACCAAAGTTTTTTATTATGTAGGATATTCAGTCAGTGGAATTAAATCATGTTCCAAATGAGTTTTTGATGGACATTAATTATCACCCATGCACTGGGGTGGGCTGCTGAGTGCCATAGGGTTTATAAACATTGCATCTTTGGGGACAAACAACTCCAAAATCCCTTGCCAGCTCCATTTAGATGGAAATAGATCATTATCTGTGGTCCACGGGACTGAGCCTCAAGAGGCAGGGGGTAAGAAGTGTTGGTGTTGTGGGTAGTGGGTTCCCCCCCTTACTTCACCCTAGGTCTAGTGAATATCTGTTCACGAAAGGAGCGCCCATTGTGGTGTCAGCCTCTTGACCTAGCAAAACCTCTCTTACCTCAAGACCATTGTGCGTGGCGAAGAGTCACAGCCTCCCCGAGGTAGTCCCGGTAACTGGGGGTGCGAATCCCCAGGCAAAACACAATGGATCTAGAGGAGCAAACCTCGATAATAAACCCGGTGCACCACACCGTACTGCCCCCTGTGGGAGGGAAGGAACAGTCTTAGGAATGGAAACAAGTATGCTAACCCCCCCCCCTGAATACCGGAAACTATCGTGAAGGCACAGGGACTCAGGACGTGACGATCCAGTTGCCCCAACTACTCATGCTTAGGCCATGCTTAGAGACATGAAGAGCTCAGCGAAACCTGCAGGCAATCTGGTGGCGGGGAATGAGAACACTGTGAGCCCCACCTTAGCTACGTGTTAAAGGGAAAGGCAGAAACACAACCCATATTTCCTTTAGAACTGGTACAGGGCATTTCTAGCTGCTGCCCGGGGAGGTAGGTAATCCACAGACACCCCAGCACCACAATGCCATGAATATGTCAATCTGTGGTCCACAGTGAGGACGTGTATCAGGAGTCTAGCATAAGCATCTGTACAGCCAGCACAGAGCCTGCTGCCATCCAAGGTTAGGCACAGAGTTTCTCATTATACACAGTACAACAGCCTTGACTTTCCCTCATGCCTCTGATAGAGATCACCACGCAGCAAACTATGATAATGATGTTCAGGAAAAAAAGTCCGCGTTCTTTTCCTTCCTGTTGTTTGGTTTCATATACTCAGGTCAGATTATTAGGTGGGCTGCTTCTGTGAACCCGCATGTAATGTTCAGGTCCTCTGTGGTCCCCTATAGCTTGCTCTGCCCAATTTGCTTTTGAGGCCAGGTTTCTCTTTGTTGCTGTAAATATAGTGGACAGGCCTGCAGAATGTGCTCAGGTGTTTGGGGGGAAATGTATGTCTTTTTTATTCATGTGGTAGTTGAGCCAGCGGTGTCCTGTTATTAGACAGAAAAATCAGCACTCAAATTATTGCATTCTTTTTGTTAAGATCAAGAGACAAAAAGAAGTAGGATCACCCATACCAGCTGGCATAGCATATGAAGATGACCTGAGTGACACTCCTTCACAACCATAAACACCAAACATCAACATTATTCACATTTAACTTACCAATGATGCATGACATCATTGATGAGGTAAATCAGGTGAAGCCTCAGCTGAAACGGGGCTTCCTTTGAGGTGATCCTAAGAGACACACAGCTGGTTAGTGCAATCATGCTGAAACTATATTTATCTGATGATTAGCAACAGAAACTTTCACCAGACGGGGAACAGGATTCGGGTGGAGAATTAAAATTGAACTGGGTTTTTAGGTTATTAAAACACTGCCATTATTGCCTGTGTATTTATATCTTTCACAGTGCAGGCAGGCAGGTCTTTGAACCTTAGGATTTAGTGCCAAGTGGTAAATTTGCAAAATGGGAGTACCATATTCCTAATACATCTCAAGGCATTTTTTTTTATTAGAGTTAGAAGTAATTTTTACAGATGTAATCAGTTTTTTTTTTGTTTTTTTTTTGGGCAGTAGGCAACAGTACACAGTACCAGACTTTTTAGGCATCTTTTTTTTTCAGCACTACTGTAATCAACATATAAATTTGGGAGGCATTCTGGCATTTTTTTGAGACGCTTTCTGGTGAGTACCAGCATTTCTTTTTCTGTTTTTCTAGGAACAAAAGCCCTGGATTGAAAACATAATTTTACAGTGGGTTGTTGCAACAGTAAGTAATTTCTACATTCTGTGAACATGGCAGTAGATAATTGTACAGAATAGATATGATATGATGTAATTTTAAGGTCAGTTTATATGAAATATAAAAAGGAAAGTTAACATGCCAGTAGTGTATTAGGCATATGATCAGCCCTCAGTTGGTGAAGCTGGCCTGCATTTACTTCCCAGGACTTTACCCGGTACCCATTTTAGGCTGAGCCTCACTGGGAGCCAGAATCATTTTGAAGAATAAATCTCACCTAATGCAGATTTAAACCCAAAACCTTCAGGCTGACAGGAGAGCATCTAGCCACTACGCCACCATTGTCCCATGGATAGAACATATACTTCTACAACCTAGATATAATTAGGTATATCAAACAGCTAGTACAAAGTAACATAATTGTAAAAACTACATATGACAGAGACTTTGTGCATACTATATACAATCAGTTTTAACATACTGCAGTGAATGCCGGACAATTAAAAAGCCAACTTATTGAGACCTTGCAAATGTGGTTTTACCGAAGAATTCTTAGAAATCTTAGGACAGCTCAAAAGAGTAACCCAGAGGTTTTAAATGAGGCCAAGGTTAGAAGACAACTTATCACAAACATCAGGATGAGACAGTCATCATTTTTGGGTCATGTTATGAGAAGAAAGAAACTGGAAAATGTTGTGGGAAAAAAGATAGATGAAGAACATATTAAAGGAAATGAAAGAGCAGATGGCTTAGCCAAAACTGGAAGTCATACAGAACAGCCAGATACATGATGTACTTATGAGGAAAATAAAACTCAGATCAAGGCAGCCATTAGAACCCATTGGAACAAACTGCCCATCAAGGACACAATGATGAAGACCCAATCAACCTCTCACACGAGAGATACAGACCATTATATTTAGAGTGCAGACTGGACTTGACAGTCTCTGCAGCCAGAACTTGTCCTATGTGGACAGTCAGCACAGAATACTGAAAATGTGCTACAGACAGGCTCTCTACATGCAGGAGTGAGATCCCAGGTGTGGACAGTTGGCTTCCAATGTAAACAAAGTGAGATCCCAGGTGTGGATGGTTGGCTTACAATGTAAACAAAGTGTAGTTCCCAGGTGTGGATGGTTGGCTTCCAATGTAAACAAAGTGAGATCCCAGGTGTGGATGGTTGGCTTCCAATGTAAACAAAGTGAGATCCCAGGTGTGGATGGTTGGCTTCCAATGTAAACAAAGTGAGATCCCAGGTGTGGATGGTTGGCTTCCAATGGAAACAAAGTGAGATCCCAGGTGTGGACAGTCGGCTTCCAATGAAAACAAAGTGAGATCCCAGGTGTGGACAGTTGGCTTCTGTGGACAGTTGGCTTCCAATGGAAACAAAGTGAGATCCCAGGTGTGGACGGTTGGCTTCCAATGGAAACAAAGTGAGATCCCAGGTGTGGACGGTTGGCTTCTAATGGAAACAAAGTGAGATCCCAGGTGTGGACGGTTGGCTTCCAATGGTAACAAAGTGAGATCCTAGGTGTGGACGGTTGGCTTCCAATGGAAACAAAGTGAGATCCTAGGTGTGGACGGTTGTATTCCAATAGAAACAAAGTGAGATCCCAGGTGTGGACGGTTGGCTTCCAATGGAAACAAAGTGAGATCCCAGGTGTGGACGGTTGGCTTCCAATGGAAACAAAGTGAGATCCCAGGTGTGGATGGTTGGCTTACAATGGAAACAAAGTTGTATGGTGAAAGACACGCGACGCACCACAGGCTTCTAAGAGGCTTTCTTACTGACACAACTAGCCAGAATTCCACTACACACAAAATACAAAGTCTTCACAGGAAATGACAATAAATATATATTTATATACCTCTTTAAGAAATACTGAGCCAAAGCATTACAAAACTTGTCTGAAGAAGTTCTCTGCATGATCCAGTTCTTGCCAGCCTGAAATGAGAAATGGTATTGTTTACATTCGCTGAATGGTGGCAATGAACCCAGCATGGTCCTAAAATGTTGGGGGGGGGGGGGGGGCAGGGGGCTGTGGTGAAGTTAAATTTGTCTTGTGTTCTGAAGGTCATGGTCCAGTTCACAAATGCAGTGTTTATGGAGATCCCTGGGGACTGATGCTGGAGCTACAGAGTTTGTGTTTTGGATGCGTTTGGCAGGCGGCTAGTCATTTTGTGGCATGAGACTGTGCTGTATTGGATAACCTGTTGCGGTGAAATCAATCTTCACCTTTACCTTTTATGTTATAACATATTTTTCCAAAACTGTGAACTGCCATTGGGGAGGGGGAGGGGAGGGTGTTTCCACTGCGGAAGCAAAGAATAGTAACACTGTACTTATCAGGCATCTTGTTAGAAACAATTGAGGAGGGTTGCCATAACACTGTCTACCTCATTCTGCAAAAAATGTAAGCTACAAACTCTAGCCAATAATGAACAGTGGGCCTGGTTTGTTTAAAGCTCTATTAAGAGTAAAAATGCAACAGAAGAAGAAACATGTGTAAAGTCTACTGAAACACTTTTAAAAAAAAGCTATCAAGGTGCATTAACCCTTTGACCCCAGTGACCTAAAAAAAAAATTGCCAAATCCCCACATCTGTGGAATTGTTGTCCCCAGTACCCCCCGCACCCCCAGTCCCTTTAAAAAGATAACATGTTTTACACAGGCAAAACATAACAATTATATTTATAGACCGGACCAACATGTTAAATAAATACAAAATAATGAGAGTAATTAACAAACACCAATGCAGCATAGAAGTGACCAGGTTACATCTCTCTGAGCTTTTAAAAATGTTTAGCATGACCCGTTCTTGATGCTGTGACCCAGCCACTAGTTACCAGTGTAACTTACGGGAAATTCTGGGGTCCATTTTTCAAAAGGAAATATCCCCCCTATCTGCTATCTTTAGCAACTATGACAATTCTCAGTCATTCCAAAAAGTTACCCAGGAAATAAAAGGAAAGCAATTCCCTATAAATGTAATTTTTTCTGATTTTGGTAAACAAAATTATAAAAAGGTGAAGGCAAAGTCGGGAGATGTGAACCAGCGCCACTGCACACTGTTAAAAACCATAAGTGCTCTGCCACCAGTACTGACAGCTGATAAGAAACTGTTCGCCTGTGTCGCCGTCCACACGCAACTCCGTAGCTACAGTGACATTCCTCCATTTACCCCAGAGTTTTAACTCTGCTACCCATTACCTAGAGGCCGGGTGAACCCCAGGAACCGCTTGGTTTCGAACACCGGCCTTGGGCTGCAGCGAGTCGCAGATGGATTTGAAAGTGAGTCTTTTATCGACTGCACTAACGCGGCCCGGAAAAAAATTATAGAATCACCACACACCCACAACTTTTGTTCTTCTTTCCACGGCATGAGGTAAAATGTGCCTAATTATTGGTTTGCTGTGAAAGGATGTATTAAGGTCCCTAAAAACATCGCAGCTTAGTCATAAGCCACGTCACAATTTGGTAGCCGCCATTTTTAGGGCGAATACAGTAGAAGAAGTATGACCCTTTCATCAAAACATGGGCTTTACAGTGACCCTTGATCAGATAAAACAAGCTGCCTTAATGTTGGCTTAGTGCAAAAACCATGACCTGGTGAAAACCTACAACCTTATCAGGCACAAACAATCTAGTGATGGTCTTTTTGGGGACATATTTGTTTCTTGTATAGAAAGTGTTCACCTTGTAAAATTAGAAAAAATGATGTCATTTACTGATAACGACTATAAACTATCTTACAAAGAATGCAGTCTGACAAGCAACTATTGTAAGAAATGAGGCCAGAACGGTTTAAGGTAATGGTTACCAATAAGCTAAGACCTGCAGACCCATTTCAGTGTCAAAAGTCTGCCACAAACCTAATATTGTTTATAACAGTCACTCTGCAGAACTGTGTCTAATTTTTACTAATCCTTGGGCCTCTGATGCTAAACCCCCTGGGACTGAAAGAGTTAATGAACTTGACTCCCATGCTAACCGTGCCTAAAATGAGAAGTAGAGATTGCCAGTGTGGTGATGATGATGATAAGTGACAACTGATCTGATTAAAAACAAATGGAGTCAAGCATCACATGTCTGCCATTGGCACAAAAAGGGTCTTTTAGATTAGAGAAGTTGAGGTAACAAAGTCCAAAGCAGACAATCATAAATTATTAGCAAAGAACATTGCTTAATAATAACAAAACTCCCCGTGTGGGTTCCGGGGCCCTATTATAGGGAAAACAAGAACAGACCCACTGCCTGCCCAAATCATGTCATTAGAGTCGACTAATTGGGAGCTTCCATCGACTTTAAAGTCGGAGTGCATCTGCCTGAGAGGCAAGGAACCAGCAGTCTGCATACAAATGAGCCAGATCTGTGAAACAGATGCACAAGCAACACTCAGGTTTTGGAATAAGACTGTAGTCTAGAAGTGCTTGAACAACCAGAACTTTCAGCCAGAGTTTACAGCTAGTGAACGCAAAGAAAAAGAAGATAATAACAAACATCAAACAGGTGACAAATATGCTTAATGCTGACAAGTAGATTAAAGGGTCAAAATAGGCGGGCAACAGATTTCGTCTCACAGGCACTTAAGAACACCACATAAATTAAATTTTTAAAATCACCCGCAAGCCCTATCAAGTAGCAAGTACTATTAAAATAACCCCCTGTAAAGGACGTGAACAAAGTCAGATATCTACAGGCGTAATATAAATGCCACATTTTCTTATCTATTACTGGGGTCCTTAACTGCAAGTCAGGAGAACAGAACGTACAAACATATGTATGAAACGGAAGTAATCTGACCACATGATGAATAAAAAAATGAGTCAAAGCTATTTTCTAACAAACAGTATTAGAGCTGCAAGTCAAAGCATCAGATATCCAACAGCAGATCTACTGTCTGAAATATTTCCCATATAGTCAAGTCACATCTCTTCTTCTTTGCGTTCACCGGCTGTAAACTCTGGAGGAAATTGACAGATCAGACTATAATTTGTGTGCAGACTGTTGGTTCCTTTCCTCTCAGGCAGATGCACTCCGACTTTGAAGGAAGCTCTCAATTAGTTAACTCTTTGAGTCCCAGGGGTTTAGCATCAGAGGCCCAAGGGGTAGTCAAAAGAGACGTAAAATCGGCGCATCTTGCGTTCATTGGGCTTCTAGTTGGGAACTTATGATACATTCCTTGGGACTTAAAGAGTTAACTCTTATGACATGCTTTTGGATAGGCAGTGGGTCTATTTTTGTTTTCCCTATAATACCCACATGGGGAATTAGGTCAAATAATTATGAAGCTGCTGTGACATTGCCTTTTTCACTGCCTCTTTTAAATGTGAGACATTACAAGTTATCTAGTCTGTGAGTTTGGGCTGCTGGTGTCAACTCTGCTGTATCAATAAAAGCTGAGATAAGCGGTTACCTACCCTCTCTGACAATGTGGTGACCAAGAATTTTTTGTGACATTGTGCTGATCAAGAATTATTTAGGTGACACTGCTGATCAAGAATTATTTAGGTGACACTGTGCTGATCAAGAATTATTTAGGCGACACTGTGCTGATCAAGAATTATTTACGTGACACTGTGCTGATCAAGAATTATTTACGTGACACTGTGCTGATCAAGAATTATTTACGTGACACTGTGCTGATCAAGAATTATTTATGTGACACTGTGCTGATCAAGAATTATTTACGTGACACTGTGCTGATCAAGAATTATTTATGCGACTCTGTGCTGATCAAGAATTATTGTGACACTGACAGAAACAATATACCATCAAGTTACTGAGAATTCGAACCCGGGTCTCCTGAATGGGGGTAGACTGATTGCTAAACTATTTAATGTTTGACTGGAAAAAAACTGGGAAAACAAGACCTCCATCCTATATCACTCATCATCATTATGTAGCAGGCCCTTTGTCGAACGTCACTCTCATCACGGTCTGCTTGAAAGTAACTCGGCCTCTCGCCAGCTCTCCCGCCTCGTGTACTTTCATATTCGCAAAGTCACTTATAACATGTGTCCATCTTCCAGTTGGAAGGCCCCTCCTTACTGGTACCATGCCTTCTGCTATTATTTTTATCCTATATCATTACAAGAGGTGAATACCCTGATCAAGGAGAAGTACAGAAACCAGTGAAGGCAGAGAACGACCAGCAGACATCTAGACACTAATCAAGAGACCAAACAGAAGACCACCGTTTTTCGACTAATAACAGGACACAGCAAACTTGAAGCACACATGCACAAAATAAAAGCTGCACAATCTACCTAGTGTCCCTGCCAAACCACTCCACATACCTGAGTACATGCTGCAGAACCGCTCCCTAGAGCAAAACTTGCAAGAAAACATATGGTCAAAGGGAAGAAGAAGCATCCAGCACAGAGTCTGGGTAACCCAAGGAGACTAGCTGCTGGTGTGTTGGTTCATGGTGGAAACACAACTGATAATCTGAGCATATGAAACTGGTCACAAAAGAAAAGAAGAATACTTCACTGCAATGGCTAAATTCTTCTTCATCTTAGCATTTACCAGCTAAAAACTCCGGTGGAAAGTTCTAGTTGTTTATTCTCTGCTGGACTTTAGTCTTGTTCCTGAACTTGAGATTTGTGTGCACATTCATTCTATGTGGCTTATATCTAGGCAAATGGCTCTTTCTATGCAAATTGGCGGATCCTCGCCTCTCAAGCAGATGCACTCCGAGTTTGAAGGAAGCCCTCCCCTAATTTACTTTTAATGACAGGCTTATTATGGGTCAGTGAGTCTATTATTTTCCCCCAGAATGTAGCCCGAGACCTACAGGAGAATGAATTAATTTACTAAGGTAAGGCTGTGATAACTGAATAACTAATGTCACACTACAAGGGTCCCAACTACTTGACCAGAAATTCTTCATGCTGAAAACAACAGAAATTGGGTTTTTATTAAGTACACACCAGTATTGCGTCCTTGGTACAGGATTCTATAATTGGTTGGAAGGCCCCATTGAAGTCTTCAATCGTCAGCTCACACTCTTGCAGCAGAGAGGACAGTTTGTTCTCCAGGCTCTTGACTATGGTATCCTGAATTTGGTTCTGGGTTTTGAAAGAATGTAATTCTCTGATGAAAAACAGCATGGCAGAAACTCAAAATGATAATATGAATAAGTTACAAGATAATCAGTCATCCAGCTATAAAGTGAATAAGTCTGTAATGCTGGGAAATCATATTTTTTCATGTAATGTTAACAACCTAAAGTTGACAGTGGCTTTCTCTAAATATTGGAAGTGTACGATACTGATGGAGGAGGACGAGGAGAGAAGGAAAAAGAGAAAAGAGAAAGAAATTAGAAGCAGAAGAAATAGAAGGAGGAGCAGAAGAACAGGATGAGAAGAAGAAAGGAGCAAAAGGAGAAGAAGCAGAAGAAGAATAATGTTAAGACTGCCATGACTAAATAATAAACAGCAAAAGAAGGAGGAGATGGAAGAGCAAGAGGAAGAGACTGAGAAGAAGGAGGAGGAGGAGGAAGGATGAGGAAGAAGAGAGTAGTATGAAGAAAAGAAAAAGAAAAATCTAATGAAGGAGAAGAATTTTAAGACTGCTACGACCTAATAATCTGAGACTGAGAAAGAGAAAAAAAAAGGAGGAAGACGAAGAGGGGGAGAGGAAGAAGAGAAGCGGGAGAAGAAAAAGGGAAAAAAAAACACAAGACGAAGGAAGGGGAGGAGAAAAAGAAAAAGAATATAACGAAGAAGTTGAAGAATCTAATGTTAAAACTGCTATGACTGAACAATCGCACGTACCTGCTGCTGCTGCATGAGCACCTGGTACTGAGCTGCCAGATTGTTCTCACTCTGGGACACCTGCTCCTGGATGTGTGTCTGCAACTGGGTCACTTGAGCCTGCGCCTGCACATGAGGGAAAAACTGAGTTAACAGTGGACAGTGAAAGTAAGGTGACTGTTACATGATATGTGTACAGGAGAATTCTGGCCTATTCACGAATCCACTCGAGTTGGCGAATCTTTTAATTCTGCAGTGTTTGAATTAGCCTAGAATGCTCCCTTGTCAAGTAAACAGAACATAGAAGATTTTTAAAAAAACCTGAGGCAAAAAAAATATATATTAAAAGTGTATATATGCAACATACATAATATTACAACAGTTATTCATATGTTAATAAATCTACTCTTGGCCATCTGATGTAACTACCCAACAGCCAAACTCGGCACATCTGTTTCTCAGCGCAAACAACTGCCGTATAAAGCAGAAACATGGAAAACAACTAAAATAATGAATAATAAACTACAAGCATTTATTAAGTTGCATCTGCTTAAAATAGATGCAATTAAATGGCATGAACGAAGCACTAATGTTAAGCTTTGGGTGAAAATTAATAAATTCTAGTGAATTGTGGTGAGGAAAAGATGCTGGTGTTGGATAGGACACATTTTAAGAAAAGACTGAGAACAACATAACTAGAAGTGCTTTACAAATGAACCGACAGAGGTACAGAAATAAAGGCAGGGTAAAACACAAGGTAAAAGGAACTTCTAGAGGGTAAAGTCAAAAAGATGGAGAGGACAAGGAGTGACATGTGACAGCAGAGAATAAGATGGCGTGAAAAATATGGTAACTACCTGGTTTATCTGCTCTTGAAGCTGTGGATTGGGCTGCCACTGTCTGCCTGGCATCAAAGGCTGCATCACCTGTTGCTGCATTTGCTGTTGCTGTTGTTCTAAATGCTGTTTCTGGTTCAGTTCTAATTATTGAAAGAAACACATATACAATGATAAAATAATAATATTTAATAATTGTATAATAATAATGATAAAACTGAAAAGGCTGGTGAATGAGATACCATAAAATGTTACTTTTACAGGCAGAGGCAGACCAACATAGAAAATATTAGACAGTTGAGCATTATGGCACAAAAGAACGAACATATGTATTAGAAAGGACTAGAAATACATGAGACATAAAGAAGCCGCAACAGCACAGCGGCTAGGCGCTCACCTGTCAGCTCGACCGTCTAGGGTTCGATTTTGATTTAAAGCTGTTTTTTTTTTTTCAAAAGTGACCTTGGATCCCACGTTGAATAGGCCTAAAATGGATACCAGGAAACATCCTGAGAAGTAAAGGCTACTGACCTCCTGATATAGGTTTTTTTGTGACAGAAAGATCAAAGAAGAAGGTACAGCTGGAATAACAAAAGTGATGTGAAAAAACAAACACAATGTTAATGTACTCATGAGCTATTTCAGTATCAAAGAAGAAGGTACAGCTGGAAAAGTGAATAACAAAAGTGATGTGAAAAAACAAACACAATGTTAATGTACTCATGAGCTATTTCAGTATCAAAGAGGAAGGTACAACTGGAAAAGTGAATAACAAAAGTGATGTGAAAAAACAAACACAATGTTAATGTACTCATGAGCTATTTCAGTATCAAAGAAGAAGGTACAGCTGGAAAGGTGAATAACAGAAGTGATGTGAAAAAACAAACACAATGTTAATGTACTCACAAGCTATTTCAGTATCAAAGAAGAAGGTACAACTGGAAAAGTGAATAATAAAAGTGATGTGAAAAAACAAACACAATGTTAATGTACTCACGAGCTATTTCAGAAGCCACTCGAAACTTGTAGTAAGTATAGTATTCACCACCAAACAAGAAAGCAAATTTTGGATTATCTTTCTGCTTCTGTTTGGTCATCTCTTCAAACTGGGGGCCATTTCTTGCCACAAAATTTGCCAGTTTGTCGATGATGTTTTTCATCTCAGGTTCTGGAAACAGAAGAAATACATGGTTATTGGTGAAGGCAGCAAACAGATCATTTTAAATATATGTGAAATCATGGACATTTAAAGTGCTACACATAGGAAAACCTTATTATTCTTCATCTTCACCCGCTGTAAACTCCAGCAGAAAGTTCTGGTTGTTTGTCCACTTCTGGACATTGGTTGTGATCCAGAATTTGAATTGTGTGTGCACATCTGATTTTAATATCTAGTTTATTTGTATGCAGACTGTTGGTTCTTTGCCTCCTAAGCAAAGATGCACTTCAACTTTGAAGGAAAGACCCTTAATTAGTCACCTCCCAAAACATACTTGCTAAAAGGCAGTGGGTCTATTCTTGTTTTCTCCAAATTGGAGCCTGGAAACCCACACAGGGATTGAACTTAACAACTTGGTTAGTCATTGGTTCTTCTGTTGGACAGTTGTGGTGGTATCAATTTCTTTTACTACAACAATTTAACTTCTGACTAGTCAGTGGTGTACCTAGGGCAGGGCTATTCAACCAAGTTTCCTCAGGGGCCCAAATGTTGAAAATGGTGATCGTCACGGGCCAGAGACCTGAATCCCAACATAGAAAGATCATTGATACAGTACAACTTGAAGTGATCCGCGGGCCATTTACAAGACTACCACGGGCCACATTTATCCGGCGGGCGGCCAGTTAAATATCCCTGACCTTGGGTATTTGGCACCCATGGCAGTTGGGTCCGAAACTGTATTAAAGTTTGCATTATCCATTTCATATTTTTGGGGTTACTTTTTTTTGGGGTGCTGGGTACTGTTTCAGAAATTATGACTTTTTCTGTCCAGACTACGCAACACATTTTTTTTTGGGTAAGCGTTGCTGATCAGGGGTGACTGCTTAAATATTTGTAGGGTGGCACCGTTCAAACATTCTTCAGCAAACTGGAACTCATTGGAGTTCCTGCACATGAAATGCTGACACTTAAAACAATGCTCCCTTTCCCAACCGCACTTGTCTTTTTTCCTCTTCTTCACGTTTAACAGCTGTAAACGCCAGCGGAAAGTTCTGGATATTTGTCCACCTCAGAACTTTACTCTTGTTCCAGCACCTGAGTGTTGCGTGCACATCCGTTTTACACATATGACTTATCTGTATGCAAGTGAAGCCCTCCCCTGTAACACACCACCGGTGCCAGTCAGTCCCACGGTCTCCATTTCAACCTAGCCTCAAAGCCGATTTATATAATTCCTCTTCTTTGAATTCACCAACTGTAAACTTCAGCAGAAAGTTCTGATTGTTCATCCACCTCTGGACTAGACTTGATCTATAACCTGAGTGTTGTGTGCACATCCGTGTTACAGATATGACATATATGTGTGCAGATTGTTGGTTTGTGGACTCTCAGGCAGATGCACTCCGACTTCGAAGGAAACCCTCAATTAGGTGACTCTTATAACATGCTTGTTGGGGAGAGAGACACTGGGTCTATTCTTGTCTCCCCCCCCCCCTGCCCACAATGGGAATTTATATAACTGACCCAGGCTCTCTATTCGAACAGGCGTAAAATGTAAAAGTAAGGTGTAAGCCATATCGCTCATCAAGTACTGATATACCTATACAAATATGGGCCTTGTGCCGTATGCCTAATTCAATTCCAATGAAGCCATAGCAGTGTTGTGATTATTTAATCGCCTGCCAGTCTGAAGGTCTTTGGTTTGAATCTGCATCCCCCTGTGTGGGTTACGAGGCCTTATTGTGGGTGACGGGGGAGACCAAGAACCGACCCACTGCCTTCCCAAAAGCATGTCGTAAGAGTTGACTAATTGGTAGCTTCCTTTGACGTTGGAGTGCATCTGCCTGACAGGCGAGGAACCAGCAGCCTGCATACAAATGAGTCAGATCTGTAAATCGGATGTGCATGCAGCACACACATTCTGGAACAGGACTGGAGTCCAGAAGTGAGGGAACAACCAGACCTTTCCGCCACAGTTTACAGTCAGTGAGCGCAAAGAAGAAGACAACAACAAAGAAGAAGAAGAAGAAGAAGAAAAGAGGAAGAGGAAATCGACCTTGGCTCTCATGGCGACCTAGAATACCATGGGTACCAAGTAATGTTCTAGGACATGGCTATTCAACTAAGTTTATTTAGGAGCCACAATTCTGAAAATGGAGCTGGTCACGGCCCAGAGGTCTGTGTCCCAAAATAGAAACAGTATCAGTACAATACAACTGGCAGTGTTCCGCGGGCCGCTGGTTGAATAGCCCTGTTCTAGGATGTGGGTAATGTTCTAGGATGTGGGTGATGTTCTAGGAAGTGGGTGATGTTCTAGGAAGTGGGTAATGTTCTAGGAAGTGGGTAATGTTCTAGGATGTGGGTGATGTTCTAGGAAGTGGGTAATATTCTAGGATGTGGGTAATGTTCTAGGAAGTGTGTAAATTTCTAGGATGTGGGTAATGTTCTAGGAAGTGGGTAATGTTCTAGGAAGTGGGTAATGTTCTAGGAAGTGGGTAATGTTCTAGGATGTGGGTAATGTTCTAGGATGTGGGTAATGTTCTAAGATGTAGGTAATGTTCTAGGATGTGTGTAAAGTTCTAGGATGTGGGTAATTTTCTAGGATGTGGGTAATGTTCTAGGATGTAAGTAATGTTCTAGGTGTGGGTAAAGTTCTAGGATGTGGGTAATTTTCTAGGTGTGGGTAATGTTCTAGGATGTAAGTAATGTTCTAGGATGTGAGTAAAGTTCTAGGATGCAGGTAAAGTCCTAGGATTTAGGTAATGTTCCAGGATGTAAACATGGCCGGCGTGATGTTAACCACATCATCCACTCAGGGCTGATTGGTCTACCAATATATGAGTCTAGCACCATACACCTGATATACCTTCTTCTTTTGTCCTGTTGCTTATGCTGTTTAAATTGTTGCAAAGAGGAGTTACATGTAGTTTCCTGCCCTTTGCTAGTCGCATAATTTGCGTCATTGTACCCATGTATCACTGGCGTAGAAAGGGCCTTTTACTAGCTTGCTTGTACCCCACCAGGACATCACATAAGCGATCAACACCCGGTGACACAAAGTGCCACGATGTGGATGAGGATCACCAGTGGACAGGTCCCAGAAACCCCTTTCAGCCATTATGGCCACATTCAGGGCCGCCCGGCAAAAGCTAGGGTAGGGCTTCAAATAACGAAAAATTGCATAACACATGGGGATGACAGTTATAGTGGGAGCCCTTTACTTCGTTCACATGACTAGAGTCCTTTACTCCCAGTACTCATTTTGTATTTTCCTTATTTTATTTTACTTATACTGTTTTGATGATCGACGGTGGAGCTATGTAGTACGTGCTTTGTGTGAGACTCTCGGCAGGCGGCTAGCCTTTCTGCAGAGGCTGAGCAATAAATATGAGATAACTCGGGACAATGAAATCGATCTTCTCCAACTTTCAACTACCCTCGAAGTCGCAGTGCATCTGCCTGAGAGGCAAGGAACCAACAGTCTGCATACAAATTAATCAGATTTGTCAAAAGGATATACATGCAAAACTCAGGTTCTGGAACCGGACTGCAGTCCAGAAGTGGACGAACAAGCAGAGATTTTTGCCAGAGTTTACAGCTGGTGAACGTGAACAAGAAGAACTTTCAACTTACTTTTTTAACTTATTCTGACACAGAGTTTTTTTTTATTTTTAAGCAAGAAATATAAAGTGTTTTATACTCGTCAGATAAGATCGAAGTTTCTATGGACAAAAACCGCGGGCAAAATACAACAAAGCGTTACAGGAGGAAATTGTCTAGTCAGCGCAATAGCACTATCTACTAGCTAAAGTTGCAGACGCCAATACCGTCTCGCTCCCGCTCCTCCAACAACGTAAGTGATTTTCGTTGTGCAGTTTTTCGGTTTTTTTTTCCCCTTTTAAACCTGTCCAAAATAATCGGAGTTGATGGTTGCTGGAAAGGGGGGGGGGGGTAATCGGAAGGTAAACTAGGTCGCGGTTTAAAAATAAGTATCGTTTAACCCTATCGTACAATCTGCCGTCTTAAGAGAGGAGATTATATACAGTATATTTTTTTCTTCTTCAGAGATGTGGCTTTTGTTTTCATTTCCAGACACATTTGAGTGTGCTTTTTTTTAAATGCAAGGTCAAAAGTATACTTAGTCATTCGAGATTAGTCTTATCTTTATATTTTAAAAGAAAAACTTCAGCCGGAGTTTACAGCTGGTGAGGGGAGGAGAAGGAGAACGCAGAACAACAACAAAAATAACTACAACTACTACTACAAGAGGGACATTGGAGAACATCGTGACAACTGGAAAGATCAGTGGAAAAGGGGTAGAGGCCGACCAAGAGAGATGATGCTGGATGGGCTGAAACGATGGCATGGATGGATATCGTCAAGAGAGCTGTTCCATGCAACCAGGGATCGTGATCTGTGGAGACGCATGAGCGCCAACGCCAGCTGGCAGGGCGTATGATGTTGATAACTACAACATCTTTTTGATGCGTTCGCCCTAAGAAAGGAGGGTGGCACGTTGTGTTGTGGTTTACCGCCAGGCCGCCATATATGCGCCTTTCGGCTCATTACATACAATTTCAGAAAACCTGAAACAGTATAACTGTTACACTGTTGAAACTTAGTTTCTGGAATACACCCCTGCTGTTGCCACTGTGTGAGTCAATGAGTGTTATAAACTTTCAGGATCAAATCCTGGAAAGGGATTGACATTGTTAAAAATAAACGAACCGGTTAATCCCTTCGGAGGATTACCTTGCTGATTATTTTGCACTGTCCTTATGGTGTAACAATCTTTTAAGCGTCATTGTATTCGTTGACTGATAAGGACTTGGGCGGAAACGTTCGTTTACATGTTTCCTTTACAATCCAGACACATTGTGTGATATATTTATTCAAACGCCGCTTTCACTCAACTGCTTTCGGCGCCATTTTTGATTCAAGTCCCGGGGCTCTTAACAAGTATGTCTGCTCCAGGAACCTTTGACCTTAAAAGGCTCTGGC